GATATGCAGATGACACCACTCTGATGGCCGAAAGCGAGGAGGAGCTGAGGAGCCTTCTAATCAAGGTGAAAGAAGAAAGCGCAAAAGCTGGGTTGCAGCTAAACATAAAAAAACAAGATTATGGCAACAAGAATGATTGACAACTGGGAAATAGAGGGAAAAATGTGGAGGCCGTGACAGACTTTGTATTTCTAGGTGCAAAGATTACTGCAGATGCAGACTGTGGCCAGGAAATCAGAAGACGCTTACTTCTTGGGAGGAGAGCAATGTCCAGTCTCGATAAAATAGTAAAGAGTAGAGCCATCAGACTGGCAACAAAGATCCGCCTAGTCAAAGCCATGGTATTCCCTGTAGTAACCTACGGATGTGAGAGCTGGACCTTAGGGAAGGCTGAGCGAAGGAAGATAGATGCTTTTGAGCTGTGGTGTTGGAGGAAAGTTCTGAGAGGCCTTGGACTGCGAGAAGATCCAACCAGTCCATCCTCCAGGAAATAAAGCCCGACTGCTCACTGGAGGGAAGGATACTAGAGACAAAGTTGAAGTACTTTGGCCACATCATGAGGAGACAGCAAAGCCTAGAGAAGACAATTATGCTGGTGAAAGTGGAAGGCAAAAGGAAGAGGGGCCGACCAAGGGCAAGATGGATGGATGGCATCCTTGAAGTGACTGGACTGACCTTGAAGGAGCTGGGGGTGGTGACGGCCGACAGGGAGCTCTGGCGTGGACTGGTCCATGAGGTCACGAAGAGTCGGAGACGACTGAACGAATGAACAACAACAACATACATACATACATTTTAACAAAACCTAATTGTTGTAAACTATTCTGAGTCACTATTCGCGGAAGGAGAGCAATGACAAATCTTAATAAAATAGTGAAGAGCAGGGACATCACACTGGCAACGAAGATCCGCATAGTCAAAACAATGGTATTCTCCATAGTAACCTTATGGATGTAGACCATAAGGAAGGCTGAGCAAAGGAAGATAGACACTTTTGAACTGTGGTGTTGGAGGAAAATTCTGAGAGTGCCTTGGACTGTGAGAAGATCCAACCAGTCCATATTTCAAGAAATAAATCCTGACTGCTCATTGGAGGGAAGAATAGTAGAGGCCACGATGAAGTACTTTGGCCACATCATGAGAAGAAAGGAAAACTTAGACAAAATGCTGGGGAAAATGGAAGGAAAAAGGAAGAGGGGCCGACCAAGAGCAAGATGGATGGATGGTATCTTTGAAGTGACGGGATTGACCTTGAAGGAGCTGGGGGTGGTGACAGCCGACAGGGAGCTCTGGCGTGGGCTGGTCCATGAGGTCACAAAGAGTCATAAACGACTGAATAAATGAACAACAGCAAATATATGGAGGCCCCCCGGTGGCGCAGTGGGTTAAAGAGCTGAGCTGCTTTAACCCACAGGTTCAAATCCGGGGAGCAGCATGAGCTTCCGCTGTCAGCCCCAGCTTCTGCCATCCTTGCAGTTCGAAAACATGAAAATGTGAGTAGATTAATAGGTACTGCTCCAGTGGGAAGGTAACGGTGCTCCATGCAGTCATGCCGGCCACATGACCTTGGAGGTGTCTACGGACAACGCCGGCTCTTGGGCTTAGAAATGGAGATGAGCACCACCCCCCAGAGTCAGACACGACTGGACTTAATATCAGGGGGAAACCTTTACCTTTTTATATATCCCGTCCTTCTCAACCATTCACTGCCATACAATCCATTAAAAATAACAGAACAACAGGAATAGGGTTGCAACAGTATCAACTGTCTCCTAAACAAACAGGATCAGAATCCAAAATGACCTCAACAGATTAGAGATGCTCACCAATAGTTCATCCTGGAAAGAAGTGATTAATGGAGTGCCACAGGGTTCGGTCCTGGGCCCAGTGCAGTTCAATATCTTTATTAATGACATGAATGAAGGTTTAGAATGCATGCTTTTCAAATTTGCAGATGACACCAAATTAGCTAATACTTCAGAGGACAGGATCAGAATTCAAAACAACCTCAAGAGCTTAGAGAGCTGGGGCAAAAGTAACAAAATTAATTTCAACAAGGACAAATGTAAGATATTACACTTGGGAAGAGCAAAATGAAATACAAAGATACAAAATGGGTGATGCCTGGCTTGACAACAGTGTATGTGAAAAAGATCTTGGAGTCTCCATGGACAAGTTGAACATGAGCCAACAGTGTGATGCAGCAGCTAAAAAAGCCAGTAAGATTTTGGGCTGCATCGAAAGGAGTATAGTGTTTAGATGGAGGAAAGTCATGGTGCCTTCTCTATTCTGCTTTGGTTAGACTTCACCTGGAATACTGTATTCAATTCTATGCACCACAAATTAAGAGAGATATTGACAAGCTACCTCACTATCTCTGAGGATGCTTGTCATAGATGCAGGTGAAACGTCAGGAGAGAATGCCTCTAGACCATGGCCATATAGCCCGAAAAAACCTACAACAACCCAGAATGAACTCAGTTTGACAGCACTTTTAATAGCCAAGGCTGTAGATTTATTTTAGAAGCTGCAGTTTCAGGCAGTTGTATACTTTATTTATTTATTTATTTGCAGTATTTATATTCTGCCCTTCTCACCCCGCAGGGGACTCAGGGCGAATTACAATGTACATATACATGGCAATCATTCAATGCCATTGATACATCACATATAGACAGACACCCAGAGGCTATCTAACATTCCACCTTTTTCGTGAGGGGACTCTGGACACAAGGAGAGCTGTCGCTTCACCATCCATGTGTGACACTGAAGAAGTGCTTCCTCATTCTTTGCATGCTTGCTAGAGATTTTTATGGTGTCATAAATTTAGTTAAATTAGCCTCCTCACATAAGCAGTACCTAAGTTTCCTACTTGACAGATGCAACTGTCTTTCGGGTTGCAAAGGTCGACAGCAAGCTACACAAATTGGTTGGAAGCTCACTCCGATTCGGGCTGCCTTCAAACTCATGTCAGCCAGCTGCGCCACAGTCCCTGTGCTAACTAATGCTATGAAATATGGGACTTGTAGTGGGTTGTTGTAGGTTTTTTGGGGCTATATGGCCATGGTCTAGAGGCATTCTCTCCTGACGTTTCGCCTGCATCTATGGCAAGTATCCTCAGAGGTAGTGAGGTCTGTTGGAACTAGGAAAAAGGGTTTATATGTCTGTGGAATGACCAGGGTGGGACAGAGGACTCTTGTCTGCTGGAGCTAGATGTGAATGTGAATGGAGCTAGATGTGACTCTTGTCTGCTGGAGGTAGGTGTGAATGTTTCAACTGACCACCTTGATTAGCATTTTTTTTGTCGTGTCAGGAGCGACCTGAGAAACTGCAAGTCGCTCCTGTTCTGAGAGAATTGGCTGTCTGCAAGGATGTTGCTCAGGGGATGCCCGAATGATTTGATGTTTTATCATCCTTGTGGGAGGCTTTTCTCATGTCCCCGCATGATGAGCTGGAGCTGATAGAGAGAGCTCATCCGCCTCTCCCCGGATTCGAACCTGTGACCTGTCAGTCTTCAGTCCTGCCAGCACAGGGCTTTAACGCACTGCGCTACCGGGGGCTCCACCTTGATTAGCATATAATGCTTCCCTAGTGCTCTTTGGGGAACACCAAATGACATCTCCTCCTGTTTCTGCTCTTCTTGCTTTGATCTGAATCGTACAGGATATTGGGTTTTTGTAGGTTTTTTCAGGCTATATGGCCATGTTCTAGAGGCATTCTCTCCTGTCGTTTCGCCTGCATCTATGGCAAACATCCTCAGAGGTAGTGAGGTCTATTAGAACTAGGAAAAAGTGTTTATATATCTGTGGAATGACCAGGGTGAGACAAAGGACTCTTGTCTGCTGGAGCTAGGTGTGAATGTTTCAACTGACCACCTTGATTAGCATATAATGGCCTGACATTGCCTAGAGCAAACTTTTGTTGAGAGGTGATTAGATGTCCTTGTTTGTTTCCTCTCTGTTGTTGTGCCGTTGTAATTTTAGAGTTTTTTAATACTGGTAGCCAGATTTTGTTCATTTTCATGGTTTCCTCCTTTCTGTTGTCCACATGCTTGTGGATATCAATGGCTTTTCTGTGTAGTGTGACATGGTGGTTGTGAGAGTGATCCAGCATTTCTGTGTTCTCAAATAAAATGCTGTGTCCAGGATGATGCTACTGTTTTTAACTGCCCCATATTCGTTTTGTGATGTTTTTGCATTGAATTTTGCTGTTGTTAACCGCTTTGAGTTGCCTGAGGGCTGAGAAAAGCGGTATATAAATGAAGTAAATAAATAAATAAATAAATAGGTTCATCAGGTGCTCTGCTTTGGCTGACTTCTCTGTTTGAAGTAGTCTGCAGTGCCTTTCATGTTCCTTGATTCGTGTTTGGGCCATGCTGCATTTGGTGGTCCTTATGTAGACTTGTCCACAGCTGCATGGTACAGCTGTCGCTTCACCGTCCATGTGTGACACTGATGTCGTAAATTTAGTTAAATTAGCCTCTCCACATAAGCAGTACCTAATTTTTTTCATTCTTTGCATACTTGCTGGAGATTTTTATGGTGTCATAAATTTAGTTAAATTAGCCTCCCCACATAAGTAGTACCTAAATTTCCTACTTAACAGATGAAACTGTCTTTCGGGTTGCAAAGGTTGACAAATTGGTCAGAAGCTCACTCCAATTCAGGCTGGCTTCAAACTCATGTCAACCAGCTGCGCTGACATGAGTTTGACATGAGTCCCGGTACTAACTAATGCTATGAAATATGGGACTTGTAGTTTCACAAAGAAGTCTTCAGCCTTCTTTGCCAGTGTGCTGGTTCCTTCCTCATCTGGCTATACATCCCAATATTCCACAGCATTGAGCCATGGTAGTTAAAGCGGTTTAAAACTGCATTACATCTGAACATCAAAGGCGAGAATAACCAAGGATAAGCACGTGAGCCAGTTTTGGGCCAGTTTCCTCTAGATCCCACCGCGCATGCGTCGAAGGCGTGCTGCTTCCGGCGCAAGAGCCGTACTTCCGGATGGCAGGGAGGGAGGCCCGTCTGTCTTTCTCCCTCTCTATGTTCCCTTCCCGGCCTCCGCCATGAAGATCACTCGGCAGAAGCACGCCAAGAGGAACATGGGCTTCTACAAGTACAACTTCGGCTTCCGGGAGCCCTTCCAAGTCTTGCTGGACGGGACCTTCTGTCAGGCGGCGCTGCGGAACAAGATTCAGATCCGAGAACAGCTGCCGGGATACTTGGGCGGCGCCACGCAGCTCTGCACCACGCGGTGAGTTGGACAGGAAAAGGAGAGCACCACCAACTCCTCAGAAAGCTGCCGCTCCTATTGGCTGGAGCCGGGCATTCGAATCGGGGGCTTGTGCTGCGCGCGGCCTCTGATTGGCCGGAAGAGTTCCGTCCCTGACAGCTGATAGGCTGCACAGAAGTGTCATTTTATTTCACCCAGCCTTGAGGAAGCATCCCTGTTCTGGAATCCCAAATAGAATCATAGAATCAAAGAGTTGGAAGAGACCTCATGGGCCATCCAGTCCAACCCCCTGCCAAGAAGCAGGAATATTGCATTCAAATCACCCCTGACAGATGGCCATCCAGCCTCTGTTTTAAAGCTTCCAAAGAAGGAGCCTCCACCACACTCCGGGGCAGAGAGTTCCACTGCTGAACGGCTCTCACAGTCTGGAAGTTCTTCCTCATGTTCAGATGGAATCTCCTCTCTTGTAGTTTGAAGCCATTGTTCCGCGTCCTAGTCTCCAGGTCAGCAGAGAACAAGCTTGCTCCCTCCCTGTGGCTTCCTCTCACATATTTATACATGGCTATCATATCCCCTCTCAGCCTTCTCTTCTTCAGGCTAAACATGCCCAGCTCCTTAAGCCGCTCCTCATAGGGCTTGTTCTCCAGACCCTTTATCATTTTGGTCACCCTCCTCTGGACACATTCCAGCTTGTCAATATCTCTCTTGAATTGTGGTGCCCATAATCCAGATCAAAGCAGATAACATGGTGCTCATACAATCCTTTGAACTGGATTGTATGAGCACCCTTCTACACTGCCATATAATCGAGATGATCAAAGCAGAAAATCCACCTCAGCTTTGAACTGGTTTATATGAGGTTCCTTCTACATTGCCATATAATCCAGGTGATCAAAGCAGAAAATCTACACCATCTGCTTTGAATTGGATTATATGAGATCCTTTCCATACTGCCATATAATCCAAATGATTAAAGCAGAAAATCCACATTATCTGCTTTGAACTGGAATATATGAGTCTACACTGCCACATAATCCAGTTCAAAACAGATAATCTGGATTTTATATGGCAGTGTAGAAGGGGTGTTAGATCCCTATGAATTCTCAGTTCTGTCAATGAGCGCATCTTCAAAGGAGCTGTTGCAGGATTCCTACTGTTTTCAAGGCCTAGCTGTTCATGTTGTAATATGGTAATAGTCATGAAGTAATACAATTAATGAAGATTCTCCTTGTAGTTACCATTCTTGTCTCCTTTTTTTTTCTTAAGATGTGTCCTCAAGGAACTGGAATCCCTAGGAAAGGAGTTGTATGGTGCAAAACTGATTGCACAGAGATTTCAGGTCCGGCATTGTTCTCACTTCAAAAGCCCTGTGAGTGGCTCAGCCTGCCTGCTGTCCATGACCGAAGGTGACAACCCACATCATTATTTCACTGCTACGCAGGTAATATTCACTTAAACTTCCATTGCAAAAGTACCCAATTTCCCTCATGACTTAGAACCATTCTCTTCAAAAATGAGTTTTCAATTGGTGTATTCAGCATTCCTCATGGCAGTGTTGTTGCAAGCAGGCATTGGCAAACTTCGGCTGTTCAGATGTTTTGGACTTCGGCTCCCTCCATTCCTAATAATGTACCGGTAGGATGTTAGGAATGGTGGGATGTGAAGTCCAAAACACGTGGATGGCCAAAGTTTGCCCATGCCTGCTGTAACAGGATATTTGTTTAGCTGCAGCTCTTCATACTGTTTTTTTTAACACTCTTCAAAAGCAATGTCAATGGGGACTTTGTGCAAATGTTGCCATAGACCAGGGGTCCTCAAACTAAGGCCCAGGGGCTGGATACGGCCCTCCAAGGTCATTTACCCGGCCCTCGCTCAGGGTCAGCCTAAGTATGAAATGACTTGAAATCACACAACAACAACAAAAACAACATCAATCCTATCTCATCAGACAAAAGCAGGCCCACACTTCCCATTGAAATACTGATAAGTTTATATTTGTTAAAATTATTCTTCATTTTAATTATTGTTTCTAAATGTTTTTGGTTTTTTTGCACTACAAATAAGATATGTGCAGTGTGCATAGGAATTAATTCATGTTTTGTTTTTCAAATTATAATCTCGTCCTTCAACAGTTTGAAGGACTGTGGCCTGGCCCTCTGTTTAAAAAGTTTGAGGACCCCTGCCATAGACCGTGCAGCTGCAATCATACAGACAGTACTAGGAATGACTTTACAACACAGAAATAGGTTTGGGGTTTTGTTTTGTTTGTTCGTTTGTTTTCTGTTCAAGGGGGCTTGGATTTGCTCATTTTCTTAAAATGAGCCTAGGATTGTAGCCCTCCTATAGCAAGCAACCAGGGGAAGAAAATTAGGCTTTCCCCTCAATAGGGTTTTTTTTTTTTTTTTGCAAGAGTAAGCTCCTTTCTATTGTAATCATTTATTTATTTATTTATTTATATAGCAACATCATTTCATCATTTTGCAAGTAGAAAAACAACAGCAGTTCCTTCAAGCAATGTGAGAGGGAATTAAGACTCCTTTTACACTGCCATATAAAATCCAGATTATCTGCTTTGAACTGGATTATATGGCAGTGTAGACTCATATAATCCAATTTATAGCAGTTCATGTGGTTTATCTGCTTTAATAATCTGGATTATAAGGCAGTGCAGAAGGAGCCTTAGTCCATCAGAAATTGCATCTTCTTCTCTCCCTCCAAAACTGGCATTTTGGAAGAGAAGAAAGGTTTATATTGCACTGTAATATTGTGAGTGAAATGTCTATGTATATTAAATCTGGACTGTCTGAGCTTCTGTTGATTTGTATCTTTAAATATTTGATAGGACCAGACTCTGGCAAAAAAAATAAAGAAAAGAGTTGGAATTCCTCTTCTGTTCATCATTCAGAACACTATAGTTCTGGACAAACCTTCTGCTGCATCTTTAGCCTCTGTGCAGGCCATGCAGACCAGTCAACTTATTCCAGAGCATCAGAAAGAGAGCATTTCACGTCTGAAAGAAGAACAGGGCCTAGTGAAAACTTCGGAAGGCAAAAAAAGGAAAAGGAAAAGGATTGCTGGTCCTAATCCTCTCAGTTGCCTGAAGAAGAAGAAAAAGAACAAAAGCCAAGAGGCCACACAGCCTGCAACAACTAAGAAAAAGGTGAAAAGGAACCGAAAGAAAAGGAAACCGGAAACAACAGCAGGGATTGTACAGTCAGGATCACAGAATGTTGAAGCATAAAAGGCTTGGGAAATGATTGGACCTGGATATTATTTGAACTTTGAAAAATGATAATATGTTCTGCTATTATATTATTAAAATAAATATTTGTATTCCCTTGTTAAAAAACAACTATTTCTATAATTCGGTGCCATATTTATATAGTGTATTAAAATATCCTCTTTCCCACATTACTTTTTTCATTTCATTTTGTAGAACTTTATAACAAATAGCTCTTCTGTAAACAATATTGAAAATTGCAAGATTGGGGAGATTGGGCCGGAATCAAACAAAATCATCAACCACATGGCATTTTACACAAATACTGATGGGCGAATTGAGAGGTCAATATATTAATTATCTCTTAGTAAAAATATCAAATGGGTAAAAAAGAGTTTAAAAGGGAAATCTCATACTCCTCAACATTTCTTTCAAATTAGGATTTCTTCTGTCAAAGTGTTCCCTTCCTCTGCCCCCTCCCCTCAAATTATTATAGCCCAAAAATTAGATTCCTGTGTATATCCATGTTCCAGATGTTATTTCCATTTAAAAGGAAATCAAACCCATAATTGGCTCTCTCCTATTTCTATGTTTAGCCAGGACTTAACAAATATTTAGTACTGATTTGCCCATGCCTATTTATATTATATTTGAACTCTCAAATTCTGTTGACTTACAAGTACAGATGGCCTAAATATAGGTGTAATTGGTGTGATCTGTGTATATTGGCATGTCTCCGACTTGTTTTCACAAGGTTCTCTGAGGCATGGTTATTTCTGCCACTGAAGATCAAAAATTGCCAAATATGGGATGGGCAGCTGCATTTTCACACCTGTAGTTTAGTTGCACCAAATAGGTTACCTACAAAAATTCCTTCCTCAAAGTTTGACAGCAGGAAGGTAAGTAAATCTGCTGACACTGGAGTCTCGTGGAATTGCGTATGGCAATACCTGGATGATGAATGCTTTTGGGGAAGACATCAGAGACTACTAGCCAGGTACCAAGGTTCCTGGCTAGTATGCAGCCTGCATATAATAATAATAATAATAATAATAATAATAATAATAATAATAATAATAATAAAACAACAACTTTATTTATATTCCACTCTATCTCCCCAAACATAAAAGATAAAAGGGCAGATTCCAAACATAAAAGGCAAACATTCAATGTTCAAATATTTCCCACTCCTGATCAAACGATTCTGCAGTAATTACAGTTCAATTCCATATCCATTTTATATGATTGCAAGATCAGAAATAGATCATCCCTTAAGTAGAAATCCTTTGTCAATTTATCTTTTATGACTCCTATCCACACATGTTCTAGTTTGCTGGGAACTAAAGCTAGCTTTTGTAATATTGCCTGGCATATTGAGTGGTGTGAAAATTTTTCAATATTTGTCTATATATTATTATTATTATTATTATTATTATTATTAACCTTTCTTTATACCCCGCTAACATCTCCTGAAGGACTCAGTGCGGCTTACAGAGGCCGAGGCCAAATACAACAGCAAAACAACAGCAAAACATATATAACAATAAATAAACTCATAAAACAAAGCAATAAACATTAACTGATAACAATAGACACTAAACAATAACATTCAGATCACTCTGAAAAAAGTGATTAATTGGTTCCCTAAAGACAGGACATGATGCATAGTATTGATTTCTGCAGAACATTGGAAGAGACAGTACTAGAACAATTAAAAGTATAGAGTGAATAGAGAAGGCCGGGGAGTGTAGATCTCTAGGGAGTGCAGGGATAGGATTTAAATAACATCAAAATGTAAAATCATCTTTTATGCCTGTCAGCAACTTGGAGTTCAGTCCAGTCAGTCTGCCCAGGAATAATTATCCATTAGTTAAATTAGGATTACCACTAAATTTTGTTGTTCATTCGTTCAGTCGTCTCCGACTCTTCGTGACCTCATGGACCAGCCCACGCCAGAGCTCCCTGTCGGCCGTCACCACCCCCAGCTCCTCAAGGTCAGTCCAGTCACTTCAAGGATGCCATCCATCCATCTTGCCCTTGGTCGGCCCCTCTTCCTTTTGCCTTCCACTTTCCCCAGCATAATTGTCTTCTCTAGGCTTTGCTGTCTCCTCATGATGTGGCCAAAGTACTTCAACTTTGTCTCTCGTATCCTTCCCTCCAGTGAGCAGTCGGGCTTTATTTCCTGGAGGATGGACTGGTTGGATCTTCTCGCAGTCCAAGGCACTCTCAGAACTTTCCTCCAACACCACAGCTCAAAAGCATCGATCTTCCTTCGCTCAGCCTTCCCTAAGGTCCAGCTCTCACATCTGTAGGTGACTACAGGGAATACCATGGCTTTGACTAGGCGGATCTTTGTTGCCAGTGTGATGTCTCTACTTTTTACTATTTTATTGAGACTGGACATTGCTCTCCTCCCAAGAAGTAAGCGTCTTCTGATTTCCTGGCCACAGTCTGCATCTGCAGTAATCTTTGCACCTAGAAATACAAAGTCTGTCACGGCCTCCACATTTTCTCCCTCTATTTTCCAGCTGTCAATCATTCTTGTTGCCATAATCTTGGTTTTTTTGATGTTTAGCTGCAACCCAGCTTTTGTGCTTTCTTCTTTCACCTTGATTAGAAGGCTCCTCAGCTCCTCCTCGCTTTCGGCCATCAGAGTGGTGTCATCTGCATATCTGAGGTTGTTAATGTTTCTTCCAGCAATTTTCACCCCAGCTTTGCATTCATCAAGCCCCGCACATCGCATGATGTGTTCTGCATACAAGTTAAAAGGGTTGGGTGAGAGGATGCAGCCTTGCCGTACGCCTTTCCCAATCTTGAACCAGTCTGTTGTTCCGTGGTCAGTTCTGACTGTTGCTACTTGGTCCTTGTACAGATTCCTCAGGAGAGAGACAAGGTGGCTTGGGATGCCCAAGAACTTGCCACAATTTATTTACCACTAAATAGACTGAATTAAATCTTTAGCATTTTGTTTTAGGCTTAGACAGGGCCCTTTCACACAGGTATATAACCCAGAATATCAAGGCAGAAAATCCCACAATATCTGTTTTGAACTGGATTATCTTGAGTTCACACTGCCATATATTCCAGTTTAAATCAGATAATGTGAGACATTATTCAGCTGTGTGGAAGGGGCCAGAGACAGTGGGAACTAAGTGTAAAAGGCTTATAGACTGTTCTGTGTGTAAAAGAAAGTGGGATACTACAATTTATTAAATCTAAAGGTTACATACAGTATATTCTGGCGTATAAGACTACTTTTTAACCCAAGAAAATCTTCGCAAAAGTCAGGGGTCGTCTTATACGCAGGTGTAGTCTTATGCATGGGAGTCATCTTAACTCTATATTTTAACTGAAAAAGTTGGGGGTCGTCTTATACGCCCAGTCGTCTTATATGCCGGAATATACGGGTAAGTCCTTTTGCTACTCAAGGAATGGAAAGACTTTAGAAATCAGTGAAGGACTGGTTTAAACAGCAAGAAATCCCATTGCATCTTTATATCTTTAAGGGCTACTAAATAATTGGAGGAAGGAGCTGAGTCTTCATCATGGAATTTGGGTTCTTAAGTCCTGTCACTATACCCCATGTGTAAATTTGTTTATTTCTGTAACAATGGTTGCTATACACTTGATGGTAGTCATCTAAACAGGCTTGCTTATAAAGAGTAGTCTGTGACATACGACAAAATGTGAGTTTGAATTTGAAATATTCACTAACTTGAAATGATCCATGTATTTATGAAGGTTCAAAAGATCCACAGATGAGTTCAGAACCCTACTTCGTCCATGGACTTTTAGCCCATCTCTGTATCAGGCAAGCCCCCACCATCATCCAACTCTTGTAAAACTTCATAGTGCAGCTGTGTGACCCAATTTATTGTGCTTTATTGCTCTGGTGAAACTGTTCATTGTGTGCAGCAGTGCATGGGGAGGAAGTTGTTCATCTGTTCCTGTCCTGATTTACTTTGTAGAATAGTTGACAAAACATAGCCATTAACTTGGGGAAGCAATAATCACAGGAGGAAGCCTTATGTCATATGGTGAAAGTGTGGCCTGCAGGCTGTGTGCCATTGCAATGCTATTTTTTAGGTCTTGGGACCCCATAGCATTCCCAATCTTCTATACATGTAATAAAACTGAAAAATGTGTATGTGGCGGAGGTTACACAGACAGCCTCTGGTTTCCACAAATTGTCTCTGGTTTCCACAAATTGTCAGCACTTGGATTAAGGGGGCATTTGCCCAAGACTTTTGGAAAGTGTCAAGTTAGAGAGTGCCGTTTTCTTCAAATTTTAGTTCCAAGTGCTGAGAAGCCTCCAAAGGCAGTCTCTCAACTGACATGGCAGGTTAAAGCGAGCGCTGTGAGCAAGTAGCCCAAACTCTGCCAATGTTCTCCCCAAACGCTACGGCTTACCACCCAAGGAATGCTTTCATTTGGGGAGAATTTCATCCTAGATTTGATATATTTCCTCCACCACAGGCAGGCATCCCAGGGTTCCTTGTTTGGAATTTACATGACCCCACCGACTGCCTCTCACTTAATCCTTTCTGCTTTGTGTCATAAGGTTACTACACGGAATACCATTGTTTTGACTATGCGGATCTTTGTTGCCAGTGTGATGTCTCTCCTCTTCACTATTTTATTGAGATTGGTCATTGCTCTCCTCCCATGAAGTAAGCATCTCCTGATTTCCTGGCTGCAGTCTGTGTCTGCAATAATCTTTGCACCTAGAAATACAAATCCTGTCCCTGCCTCCACGTTTTCTCCCTCTATTTGCCAGTTATCAATCCGTCTTGTTGCTATAATCTTGGAGTTTTTTTTTGATGCAGGATGAAATAGCCTTTCTGAATTAAAAAAAATGGTTGAGGGAATGGCGGTCGCTCATGTTTTCACCATTTCTGTGTTACTGTTGCAAATTGCTAAAGGAATACTTTTCCATCATTGACAGATTTAAAAACTCTGTGCTTAAAAGGTACTGGCAGGAGCAGAGCTCTATCTTTCAACCCAGAGAAAGTCAGTACTGAAGAGTGTATGAAATTGATATAGCTCACCGCTTATTTAGGTCAGGCATTAATTCAGACTGAAATAATAGAACTCAAAATTCATCACTGAATGGTCTCATTCCCCTTTTTAAATGCTAGTTGTCTGCATTTCAGATTTCTTCCATGTTTGCTTTTAATGCATTTGCCAGTCTAGCCAGACACCCTCTGTAATTACATATATAAGTGGACGATGAGTGACAGCCACATCCGTATCATGCTTCAGTTCACACCAGAGAGAGAGCAGACTGTCTCTGCAAACGAGGATTGCTCCTAACAGATGCTGTAATTTCACGCCTAGAGGCCCCAAGTTTTCCCAATTCTCTTTTCGAGCTCAGTAAGCCATCGAGATTATATAACTTGCCCCCTTAAACAGCTTTTAACGTTTCTTTTAAATAAAACAATCTTTTTTGAGATTGAAAAGTACATTTTAAATTCTCCTTTTAGTTCAGCCAATACTTAAAAATAAATAAGACATTAGATTTTATTTCTCTGCAGCCTTACCTTAGTGATGTGTCTGAGCACTGTGGAAACAGGTGATAGTTCTAATTCAGCAGAGCATATTGTGCCCCTTTTACACTGATTTAAGATGGATTATATGAGTCTGCACTTTATTTCTGATTTAAACTGGACTATATGAGTCTCCACTGCCAGATAATTTGGGATAAGCAAGTAATCTGGGATCAGATCCTGGGATATAGGGGCAGTTTGGAAGGGGCCTTAATCACTGTTTAACTAACCGTTATAGCTTGAGCAAAAGCTGGTGTTTTTTACATATAGCTTTATTATAGATTGTTGTAGGTTTTTTCGGGTTATATGGCCATGGTCTAGAGGCATTTTCTCCTGACGTTTCACCTGCATCTATGGCAAGCATCCTCAGAGGTAGTGAGGTCTGTTGGAAGTAGGAAAATGGGTTTATATAGCTGTGGAATGACCAGGGTGGGACAAAGGACTTTTGTCTGCTGGAGCTAGGTGTGAATGTTTCAACTGACCACCTTGATTAGCATTTAATGGCTTGGAAGTGCCTGGGGGAATCTTTTTTGTTGAGAGGTGATTTGATGTGCCTGATTGTTTTGCTGTTGTAATTTTTGAGCTTTATTATATTTTGAATAGCACACACAAAAGAAGCCTACTAAACAGAAACGATACAAAAACCACTATAAAAATAGAAAAACAACCACTAATTTATCCACTCTCTCTGACTCAGTGAGAAAAAGGGTAAAAGTTAACTTTCTACCCTCCAAACCAAAGACATAAAATTAGAGGTATCATAAACTTCTTACTATGTAACTAACCTTCATACAGGCAGTAAAGCACAATCTTCCAAAATATTGTATTTCTTCTTTATAAAAGAAACTTGCGTACCAGCTGCAACTGTACCTCGAAAAGCCTGACTTGAACATGGTGGTCCACACCTTAGTTACATCTAGAATGGATTATTGTAATGGATTCTAAGTGGGGCTGGCTTTGAAGACGGCTCAGAAATTGCAATTTGTACCAAAATCGGAGCTAATTATAGGGAGCATACCATGCCCCTATTGAAGCAGCTCCACTGGCTGCCGATAAGTTTCTGATCCCAATTCAAAGTGTATCACCTATAAAGCCCTACATAGTTTGGGTCCAGCCTATCTTTGTGACTGCATCTCCCCCTATGAACTGGTACGAGCTCTAAGATCTGCCAAAGAGACCTTTCTCTTGGTTTTGCCTCCATCTCAAGTGTGGTTGGTGGGGATGAGGGAAAGGGCCTTCTCGGTGATGGCCCCCTGGAACGCCCTTCCCAGGAAACTTAAACAATCCCCTACACTAAACACTTTAGGAAAGAGTTAAAAAATTGGGTTTTTTTTCCAGCAGGCCTTTGATAATGTTTAGACAGCAATCAGAACTGATTGTCAATCACTTAGCATTTTATATCTATATTCTATGTGCATTCAGCTGGGCTGCTTCATTGATTTCATGGATCTTTTAACTGATTCTATTTTAATAGAGATTGTTTTATCCAATTTATATACCTGGTTTATGTAATGTATTATTGTTTTCATTTTGATGTATTTTAGTTTATGTATTATGTATTTTATGGATGGCATCTTTGTGTGCTATTTTGTGGGATATACATAAGTATTATTATTATTATTATTATTATTATTATTATTATTATTAAGATAAAAAGTTCCCAGTCCTTTTTAAAAAAAAATCCAATCACAATAGACAATTTATCTATTTCTGCAATTTCAAAAATCTTCAAAACCCGGAATTCTTTGGTTGGAAGATCAGTATAATTTTTTTGACCACACAATTACGTCACTGCCAGAATAGTTTGAAATGAATGCTCCTAATTTGCTAATTTTGAAAGTCCTGGTAAAAAAAGTTGTTCTCAAATGTATTCTATTTTTTAAAATATATCTTGCATCAACATCTGTACCAGCTTCTAATATTTCTTTGTTTTATCGCAAGTTCATCTCATATAAAATGTATCTTACTATGTTCCACATTTCTAGCATAAAGTTTTTGTCCCTTCATGCATCTTGGATCATTTGCTGGAGTCAAATACCACTTTTATACATCCTTTTATAAGGGTTTCCTTTAAATTCTATAACAATATATCTTTAAATTAATTGGCCCACATTTCCCCCTTTGCTCTAACTATATCTTACAATCAACATTTTGGACCCATTTGACCAAAAACTTGTTCACTTTTAAACTTTATTTACAACAATCCTACAAAGAGCACATAGGCAAGGAGCACATAGGAGCATCTCCACTAATTCATTAGATTGCAGAATGCGCTAAATGGAATGGCAGACTGCAAACTAAAAAGAAATGGGCCAGATTAGTTCTTTGATAGGGAGCTCCAAGTGCATAACTAGCATTCTTCCCGGGCAATTTCCTCCCCCATTCATCCTACTGCCTTGCCTGAAAGCTGAAGATGGCCTCATGTTAAATATTGCAAAGGGAAAGTGCTGAAAGGGGGAAAAAAAGAGTAGTGTGGCTTGATATTAATAGAATTTTACATTAATACTACCTTTATGTGCTCATGAGCACTTCACACAAACGTACAAAAGGAATAGAATAACTCACCCATGAATTTACTATTGGTTGGTAGGACGCCATGTAGAGTGGCCTTTCAACCCAGTAATAATTGGGAAAAGCCATGCACACCAGGGGTTGACTAAAATAGTCTCAAGACGCAGGTATATAATAATAATAATAATAATAATAATAATAATAATAATAATAATAATTATTATTATTATTATTATTATTTCATTTATATTCTGCTCTATTTCCCCAAAGGGACTCAGGGCAGGTATTCCTCGGGGATCTCCAGCTTACTTCTCCGATAGTATCAGATGAAGTGACTCCGATGTCAGTTCTTTTACCTGTGTTTAGCCAAATACCCTGTTCATAGTTTCAACATGAAGTCATCTATCACAAAGCTTCTTAAAATGTGGGTCACGATCCCATTTGGAGATGTTATAGCTTTATATTGAGGTTGCAACAATTTTGGAGAAGGTGGGGCCAACGGTGAGGTGAAGGAGGGAGTAAAGAAGCGTCCTTTTCTGAGCTGGACTGTTGCCAATGCTTGCCTTAGAGAAAAGGGAGGGGGATAAGGAAAAAGGGAGGGCTTTGCTGGGGACCCCAGCCTCGAGGCCTTTTTTTCCTTTTTTTTTTTTTCATTTATGGAATCAGAGAGGTCTCTCTTGGGAATCTGTGAGGAAGGATGTCTCTTCTCATCTTGCGAGTCTTGGTTCTTTTCCTTCCCATCTTGGGAGTCCAGGGTTGGGATCCCTCTTTCCCTGCTTTCTCCATTTTGCTGGGTCTTTTGTGAGAGGCACAAATTCTAGACTAGATTCCTCCTTTCACCCATTTTGCCTCCTGACTTGTGTATTCCACTTGTCCTTCACATTCCTTCTTTCCTCAATACGTCAAATTTGGTGCTGATATATCTGCCTATGAAGTCACTGGACATGAGAATTCTTTGTGCAGAGATTGCTAAAAAAAAAATCAAATTGTTTTAAAATAAATGTATGATTTATTATTACTAATGGTTTGATATGTACTTTATATATCTGGAGTCACGTATACATTTCTCAGACAAAACAGGGTTGAATGAAAAAGGTTTAAGTAGCCCTGGTTTATCATATTTGAGCCCAAGGTGGAGAACCAGCTGAGACTTTCCCTCAATGAAAACAGTAAATCACTGTGATAGCTGGTTCGCCAAGTTATCCAGTGATCTTCTGTTAGTTTCCTACCTGCCCTGAAATACTTCACTTTAAAACAGTGGTTCACAACCTATGGTCCATGGATCACCAGTGGTTTGCAATAATGAAAATATGGTCCACGACCTCACCATTACTACACTGTTGCCTCAAAACCACGTGGCAATGAGGAAAACTGGTCTCGCAAAACCCTCTTATAGTGCTGAGACAACGGGGATATCGGGGGGGGGGGGGGGGGGGGGGAGAGAGAGACTGACTCCCCACAAAAGATTACAACTACCACACCAGTTATAGATTATTAAATGTTTTCTGTGGATGAGTAGGTGGCAACTACTGGATGGCCTATGTTCTGTATCAGAAACCAGAGCAGATGTGGTCTATCCAATGCCATTTTCTGAATCAGCACCTCAAATAACCAAACCGAATCCAAAGTTGACCAAAAACTGATTCGTAACCCTTTTGGCCCTTGGTCAAAAAAAGGTTGGGAACCACTGCTTTAAAAGAAACCATTCTCAGAAATCAGTAGCAAAGGTTCCGAAGCAACATCCTGCTAACTGGTGATCTGAAGGGAGGAGGCTGTAATTAAGAAAGAAAGAAAGAAAGAAAGAAAGAAAGAAAGAAAGAAAGAAAGAAAGAAAGAAAGAAAGAAAGAAGAGATACAACTCCCATGGGTGCAGGGTGTTATGTGGCCTGCTGCATTTTGATTAGGAAGCAATAATATAATAACTTCACTATGTAATTGCTTATAACACAACTTTTATTAGAAAAGTTATACATAACAGCAACTATTTCCAAGAATATTAACCTTGAAAAGTAACAAGAACAGACTAAAACTTTAACAAGAAACTAATGACCTCCTCTATAATTAAACATTCAAGTTATCTACAATGTCTCTTTGTACAAAGGGGGAAATTATGGTTATACAGGCACATCATGTCAAAAATAAAGCTGCAGTAACTATTTTATACAATTAACTTTCTCAAGGATTGTTAAAACATGTTGCAAATTTTAAAACATTCACATAATTTTACACTTGGGCATACACTGAAATCTCAATCCCAGAAGAGAATAATTTCACAAAAGTGCCAACATTTAAAATCAGAACCTTTAGTTATTTTACTCTTAAAATGTTGACATCAACATATTCACATGATTTCTGGTATGGCCTGGTCATGATAATAAAGCCTTTATTCTTTAAAAATAGTAAAACCAAATTGCAGGCCATTTAAAAAGCTATTCAGTGTTCCATGAGTGTGCATTATTGGAAAATACACAGTTACAAAAGCCGTAAAAGTCTCTGGAGATCTATGATTACACAACAAGATTACGTTCAATAAATGCAATTTTACTTTCCTCTAAATATACATCTGTAGCTCGCTGTCCTTTCAGGCCCATGGTGTCCATCCATTTATTTTTTGTTTTTAGAAATACAACAGACCAATTTAGCTACCAGATCAACAAAGTTAAATTGCGTGTAATCTGAAAGTATGACATTTCTAGAAAGCCTTAAAAAATCATAAATGCTCAAGAAGTTTTAATTTAAGGGGAAGGAAAGCCTACTGGTGCCTAACAAAACTGTCCAGTCCTTACAACTATATGCCAATGGAAATGGACCACAGTGAGAAGGAATGCAGTATTAAATACCAAACATGTTTTGTCTTTTGCGTTTAAAGTAGTTCTGATAAGTACAGTATTTTTCCAAAGGCAGTAATTTACATTTATTCCCAGAGCTGCTTAAATCCTATTCTAGAGATACCATGGCACAGCAAGGACTCCTGCCAGGCACTAACATTCATATTGGCAGCTCCAGGAGCACCATCAGAAGCAGGAAAGTGATAAACACTGAAAGACATTTTGGAACTAACAATTCACTACCTTCAGGGAGAGAGAGAGAGAGAATGCATAAGTTTGGCAAAAACTGTAATAAGAAAAATTAGAATGGCCATTTTGGGTCTTCCAGAGTCGAATAATTGTAGTTTATTGAGCAGATAATTGTAAAACAATTTATAAATCCTAGTTACATGCACCAATATTGCACACATCTGTTCTGAATTGTTTTAAAAACACTCTTTATAAGATCCTTGAGTTACTTTCTCTTATCACTGCAGCTGGAACTCAAGTCACCCAGTGCAGACATTGCTAGAAATGGTAGAAGTGGTAAAATGCAATAGAAAAAACCTCAAAAGACAGAAGTCAATGACTGTACAGACAATGAGATCTAGTTTTGTGGGCCCTACACATGGGACAACGCAGAAGCACTAACAATGCCACCTATACAGAAAGCTGAACATTCAAATAATATGGAATCTCGGGCCAGGAGTGGCAATGATGTCACTGTACGGTTCCTCCTGCGTCAGCTCGATAGCTTGCTGTTTTTTAAGTACCAAGAAACTGTAGAATTTTGCTGCTGCTTGCTTGCGGTTTGTGTTCCTACACAACTCAAGCAAACTGATGGATTCTGCTCCGGTCTTGGCAAGTGCTCTCTGAAAACACAGGAAACAATTAGTTGCCATCACGGCTAAGATTATTCTGAATCTTTACTTGTACAAGCGAACTACAAATAAAGTTACTGGCAAAATGCTGACAAGAACTCCTGCCATTCTAAGACACCTAAAATGGCTGAGGACCCAATTTTGAGTCTTTGAAATTGCAGCAAATGTTTCGCTGCTTCTCTCAATGCATTGTATGGTTTCCACTGCCAAAGCCTTTGGTGGGATGTTACACTAGCCAAGATGGATCGATGGATCCTTAATTAGCACAGAAGTCAAGAGGTAATTAAGTAAGAACAAAAACAAACCAAGACAAAATAAATGACCAACTTATTTCCAGTATCAAATGAAATTTACAAATCTATGTGTCTGCGTATGTGCCTTCAAGTCAAATAACTGCTGACCTATGGCAATCATATGAATATCACAATGTTTTCTAAGTTAGACTATTGAGGTGGTTCTGTCAGATCCTCCCTCTAAACTATATAGTCTAGAGCACTTAGTGGGCTGGATCTACACTACCATGTAATGCAGTTCCAGAATGCACAATGACATATAACCCAGTTCAATGTAATTAATGTACATACTGACATTACATTATATGGCAGTGCAGATCCAGCTTTAATCTCCCACCTAACTGCTAACCAGAAATTGCCCTGTTTACATTCCAAGATCAGACAGCATCTGGTACCTTTAGAGTATTTAGGCTCTCTACAAATCTCTGTACATTTATTAAAGTATCTGTCTCCCTACAAGCACAAACCTTACATTACCACATCCAGCAACCCAAATTAGCTTGCACTGAAACATTTCAATACTGCATCTGAAACTGGTGAGGAAAAAGCTGCTGAGTTTATTAAGAGTTCGGCAACAGGGAGTTTAAATTCCAAAATGATAAAGCCTCCTTCTAAAAATGTGGAAATCGTTTTCCTAAATCAGAGCTATGTAATTTTTGTAAAAGCAGTTAATACAAGAAAACCAAGGGGGTGAGCAGTTGCCTTGATCCTCTGATTGCAGCATCTACAAAAGATTTCCTAATATTTTGACATTCCTTTTTTAGAACAACAAATGCCATTCCATACCTGAAGACCATGAAGCATTTGTTGAGTTCTCTTGTTCCATCGCCTTTCTTCTTGATCCTGGTCACCCCCTGTACCATCTTCCTCCTGCAACCAATCACATTTTAGAAAAGGTTCAGAAAACAAAATTATCTTCCACCCCAGACAAAATACAGGGAAGGCTGATTCAATTTAAATGTTACATAATCGCATCACACAGGACAGCCCTCCCCCGCTATAATGTGTCAAGGACATACTGAACACAGACAGCCCATGTGCATGTAGGAAACTGAACAAACTCTGGGATTTATGAGCCTATCACAATTAAGGTTTCATTTGTGCATCCTTAGGTAAGTCATATTCTCAGTCACAATTTCCAAGAAACTATTTTTAAAGTGATTCAAGATTATTATGAAGACCATTGCAGCATTTTGCAAATGTGTTATGTACCATAATAACAGGTGTAAATAGGAAGAGGGGAAGATAGAGATTTTATAAATTGACATCCCAGCTGCATACCATACAAATGTCCTGATCTAGCTCAGAGAGAAACAGACCTAGTTCTGCTAAGCAATAATGGTACCTTAAGCACTCCTGACCATCTTTACATTAGATTTGTTTTGAATTGTCACCAATAATTTTCGAGGTTTCAGCTCAGATCTTTCTTATTGTATTGAAATAACACTTAAACACAGCTCTCAAATACAATCCCAGGCTTTCAAGCAAATACTAAGAAACACACACCACAGACCTCAAAATATACAAAAACAAGTGCCCATATGGTTAGAAAACATACTGGAACCTAATGTTTCCCCCATAAAATAGTGCTTGCACTTTTCTATAAGAATGTGACATGCTATGAGGATGAACACATTCCTAAAGAAGTGACAGATGCTTTTCTTGTAGGAATAAAATGGAACAACTGCCCCGACATCTTAAAATATCTACCACAAGGAGAACAATCTTGAATTTACAGCTTCACAAAGGCTTCCACATTTTATTTAAAATAAAGCTTGGGACCCATTTGATTCAGAACAGTTTATAATTGTTTATTAAAAAAACTGTACTGAAGAATAGAATAGATGAATTGATATAAAATGTACAGTAACAATATTGTTTAACACTAAATCTGAACACTCTGCCCTATTTCACCAAATTGTTTTATGTTGTAAAATTGTTCTTAATGTATTTGTCTTCTTATTTATCCTACTTTTTATTATTTTGTTTGAGAAGTAAATCAATTCCCTTGATATGTGTATTCCTGATGTCTTTTCAAAGAACAAAAAGTGCAATCAGTGTGCTTCAGTCATGCAAAGGGTGAGACAGATGTTAAGATTCATTAGGAAAAAAGTCAAATACAACTAGTAATATTGCAATGACTTTATACAAATCTCTTACACAGTGTATTGTGAAGGTTATCTAGCATGCAGCTACACTTTTTTATCTTCTTTGTGAATATCTAGCTCAGACATGGGCAAACCCAGACCCATGGGCTAGATGCAGCCCCCCCCCCCCCCCCCCCCGGTTGATTTTCCAGACCCGGGCCCTTGGAACCAGGCATGTGTCACACCCTGCTCTTGGCAGGAGGATGCGGCAGGCCGCTGCGCCAGGCCCAGAGGAACAACCCCAAGGAGCATCTTCGAGTGCCAGCAACAGCAAGGGAAGTCAGGTAGCAGAGCAGCTGACTGAGGGGAAGGGGGGGGGGGAGAAGGAGATAGGGAGGGAGCAAGTGCTGCCACCGCCTTTGTCAAACATGCCTTCGTTCTCCTCTCCCCCCCTCCTGTCTTGTACTCTTCCTCCTTTCTTTTCTGCCTTGTGTTCTCTCTTCCTTCTCTTCCCCCTTGTGCTCTCTTCCTCCCTTCTTACTGCCTTGTACAATCTCTCTTCCTCCCTTCTCTTCTGCCTCATGCTCTCTTCCTCCTCACACTCTCATCCCCTTCTTTCTGTCTTGCATTTTCTCTCTCCCTCCTTTCTCTTCTTCCTCATGCTCTCTCTTTCTCCCTTCTTCCTAACTCACCCCTTTCCCCCTGCAAACCCTCAGCCTCTCCACGCCCTGCCTCCCGGCCCAATTTGCACGGCCCCCTTTCTAAAAAGCTTGACCATGCCCAGTCTAGCTTATCACTGTGAGAAAAGAAGCTTGGACTACTTATTTACTAAAAACAGCCAACAATATAAAACAATGCTCTCAAAAACAATGCAATAAATTATGATATAATCAGAAACATTTAAAAACGATTCCACAATTTATGTTAATAAAACCAGTAAACATTACAAATAGACAGCTCTTACCTCTTCAAAGTTCTTAATATGTTTTTTATCCAATATGCATCTCTAGCAGGGCCTTATTTTTAAATAAAGCCCCTCTGCAGTAAAAATGAATGAAGTAACCGCAAGCACACATTTGCAAGATAACAGTCTAAATAAGCTTCTAACTCTTAACACATCTTACTTTCATTAAAAAAATGGCTGGCTTTTGCTTCTGTTCAATATTTAGTAGCTGGCAAATGAGAAGCTCGTGGATTTTTCTGCCCTGGCAACTACAAACCAGTAGGCACACCTCCTGTTCTACCATCCATTAAATGCAAGCAACAAATCCTCATTTGGAGAATTGAGAACCGTGAGAATGAAGGAAAGAATCTGGCCCTTCCTCAAAGGAAGAAATTGCGAAAGATCTGAAGTATTCAAACAAAGCATCTGTAAAAGCAACCTTAAACTCACTCAACCCCAGCTGAAAGATCATCAGAGCTTTCAACTGAATATACAATTTTTCAAGTTGGAGCATCTTATGCATCTGGAGACTCAATACAGAAAATATTAATCTAGGTTTTTGTTTCTACATGTTTAACCACAAAATGCAAATAAACTGTCCATTATATAGTATGTTTGCATGGCAGGTAAGAAAACTGCTTACCTCTTCCTCTTCTTCTTCCTCCTTTTCTTTTTCTTTTTCCTTCTCCTTTTCAGGCAAAAGCTCCAATTCAGGGATAAGCTGACAGATGTTTTGAGGCTCTTCTGGAGGCAATTCTACTGGTGGCATTTCTATCTGTTGCAATGGTTGAGTCTGAGGACACAGAGATGTTAACACCTGGATTTAGGCAAACAATAACACATTTGATAATATTTTGATTAGAAACTTTGTTTTTCAAAAACTTTATGCAAACTTGCACAGAAGCCTGACAATGTGTCTCCCAATTGAAAAAATACTGTTCTAAAGCAGTTTGTTGTTTGTAGTTTTTTGTTATATTTTCCCAACTAGTGACTCTTGCAGAAAGATAGCTTGAATTACTACCAAGTATAGTAGAGACAGGACCAGTGGTAAACAATTCATATTCACAAAATAGTTCTGTATACTGCTGGAATACCTAATCTGTTAAGAGAAGCTGGCGTATGCTGCTATTCTATAGGGCGCTGGAGCATGAGATTCCAGAGCTGAAATCTAAGAAATTGCCGTGTGGAAGAGAGAATGGATGTTTGAACCAGCCACTCATCTTCCAAGTAATAGGTAACACTCTGATGGGAAAAGGTTTGTTACAGTTTATTAAATTACAGGGTGGAGTGAAGCTATCTATAATTTTTATTGTGTATTTCTGAAAACTACATGAAAACAGTTTTGTTTTAATAAGTTTTAAAAATCGTGGAGGCTCCTTCTTTGGAAGCTTTTAAGCAGAGGCTGGATGGCCATTTGTCAGGGGTGATTTGAATGCAATATTCCTGCTTCTTGGCAGGGGGTTGGACTGGATGGCCCATGAGGTCTTTTCCAACTCTTTTGATTCTATGATTCTACCAGACAAATTATTTTGGAAAGATGCAGTTGTAAAACTTCATGCAAAAGCCTTCTCCAACTCCAACTCGATATGCCCAGTAACATGGCATGTGATTGTTGAGTGGATACTCTTACTGCTTCCACACTTTCTGGCATTCCACTAGGCATGCCAGGAATTTTTTTCCAGTATGGATCCAGTTGCCCGAAGATTAGAAATCTATTAACAACTTATCAAATTAAACCTACCGCTCCTCTGTATCCTCACTACAGTCCACAGTGCCCCCTTGAAATATAATATTTCTTACCCGCCTCTCCTCACAGCTCGAGGTCATGGGATTCTTTATGCCCTACCCTGTATTTTAGACTATATGTTATTGGCAGGGGGCACTGATTTTGGTTGTTTAACTAGTGAAAGTACAAAACTTGCTGATGGAGCTATATAAACAAACAACTGTTTTCCTGCATCATGCTTCAAAGGTAGCACTGGAAAACAGATGCACTAGTGCCCAGCTTTCAACTCATCCTGCTACCCTAATGTAAGTGCTACTTTTGCCATAAACCTTTAGGACCCTGAATGTTATATATTATATAAGTGCTTTCTTTTTTATGTTTCAATCTTTAGATAACAGGGACTCATAACACGAAGTAATTATGCCACAATTTGTTTGACAAAAACACATCAAGGATTCGTTCTTTTGCTCACAGGTAGGACAGGTTCTGGTTCCACTTGTGCAGCCTTTCGCTTTACGCCTGTCTGAGGAGGAGGTGGTGGCATGACGGATTCATCCAGGCTGGTCCTGCTGCCTTCCATTATGGACTCCTGAAGGCGACTTGGCTCCTCCAAGATAGTGTCATCTATAACACAAAAGGTTCAATGAGTAAAGGCTTATTCAAAGTTGCTAAGAATCTATATGCCTCTTTATTTGCTGTCTAACAACTATATTGTGATTACCACAAGTTGGTGAGATACATATACCTTTACATTGCCAGAAAACTGCTTTTTGCCTAAATGCAAAATGCATTGAGCAACACAAAGCAGCTACAGGTTTTGAGCATTACACCACACAAGTTTTAAAACAGTTACTGAAGTTTTTAACAGTTGAAAAGAACCACATATTCAAAAATTTAAGGCGCCAAAGAAATACAAACCAATAACACTGCGCTGCTTTTCCTCTCTGGGAACTTCTGGATTCTCAAAGTCTTTAAGAAACTCATCCAGGTTATCAGCTTCTCCTCCTTTCCTCCTCTTTCTGAGCTCTTCTGGTACAAGAGGTGTTAGACAACGAGTGAAAAGCTAACAAAAAAAGGGGGGAAACAGCAAAATAAATTGCATGCACTACACACATACACACACTCAGCTCAAAGCACCTTGCGGGTTTAGTCTTATACCAGTAGTCCATTGTACAAAATGTTTTAAAAAAAGGGGGCTCAGCACAAAAATAAGACATGATAAAAGATAACTCATTTCCTACGGGTTTTCTTTCTTTTTCTTTTGTATGGTTATGATGCATTTAGGAAGTGTAGTGGTTTGAGTGAGCATTATGCTATTAGTCTGGAGGCCAGGGTTGGCCATGAACTGGAAATAACCTGAAGGCACACAACAACAAAATAATTTAAGGACTGATATATACCACCTAAGCCCTATGCAGGGAACCCTTATTTTTGTTTAGGAGTAAACTGTGTGCAAAGATATGCCTCTGCAAGTACAGTTGGATTTCCACATTTTGGGATACATTACATTAGTCATACATTCATTATTCACATACATTATTAATGTATTTGATTAAAACTATTCTCTCTTGTAATTACCAAGTCCTCCAATGGTATATCCAGTAACAATGATCTGAGGACCTAGGGATTTGACCAGTTTATCAGTCATACTGAGGAGTTCATAGATTCCTAAAGAGGACATCTTTCTAGAAACTTCTAAGTTCTCCAGTGAGATTTTAAGGACAATTCCCATTTTAATTAATGGTTTTTCACTTTCACAAGGGGTCTTTGCACCTAATCCTAATGAATTCAAAGTGAAGACTGCAAAATCCATTCAAAAATGTTGATGCATGTGTGCTAGAATGCTGCATATTGAGTTTAAACTGGACCAGGCTCTGTAACTCTATTTAACTGAACATTGTTACTGGATATACTGTTAAGGGATCACCTATTTATGAAATCAGCTGCTCATTTTAAATTAATGTTCAGTTCACCTTCAGAAGTCTGTTATTCCACAGAGGTTGAGCAGGAAGAGAGAAAAGTTTTTCAACACCCCCAGTTTCCTTCCACATCATTAACTTCTTAGTAGGAGGTGCCAAATCCAGTGTAGTGACAATATCAGAGTAGTCACTGAGTTGGGCTCTGATAGTCTTGCTGTCAAGTTCCTTCACGCTGTCTACAATCAACTTTCTCTTCCTCTTTGCCTTTGTTTCCTTAACTAGTTGGAGAGAAAAGAGCTGTCAAGACTCCTGGATACAATAAAGGTAGTCATTTATAGAATGAAAGCACAACATTAACAGTTTTAGGATTCAAACAACTGAAGACCCACTGGCTCAATTACTGAATGAAAATCAATACATATGTAAATTTATCTTCTCTTCTTGGGATAACAGGATCCAGACATTGCTTAAATATCTTCAATTAAAACAACAACAACCAAGATTTGAGTGATTAACTGTCATGGTTATATGCTGTATGTACTCAATGACAGTCAAGCTGGGTAAAATTTATGACATTACAGTAACAAGACCAAAATTTACTATATACTAGCCATGGCAGATGCAGAGAAATGTTCTCTAAATAATGAAGGAGAACAGCCAGTCCTGTGAACCACATTAAAGCTGTTCATGGTCACGCTGAATTAGCCAGTGTGGCACAGTGGTCTGAATGTCTGACCAGAGTCCAAACTGCCATTAATCCATGGAAACCCACTAGGTAACTTTGTACAAACCACAAAATCAAAATTAAACCCACTGAACAAATCTTGCCGAAGAAAACCTATGATAGGTTTGCTTTAAGACAATTTTAAGTTGGAAATGTCTTGAATACAAACAATACATGAATATGAAGAAAAACCTACTGAATTTGTGGGAATCATTGACACTCCATTAAATTAAAATTTGTTGAGTTGCTCTCTCACAATGAGTAAGTTCAAGGAATTTCTATCACAAACACTTTCAAGTAAAAGTTAAATCAAGTTTGCTTATTTACCAGTTATATCAATAGGCTCTAAAGCAAATGCTTCTTCTTCATTTGGAACCAGTGTTGTCTGATCGGTCATAGTTGGCAGTGGTTCAACTGGATCTACTGAGTCTGGGCTATCCGGTCCACCCACTGAGAATGAAAGGGTTAAAAATTAAGTTTCCAAGTGAATTGCAACAGCCACAATAGCAAATACAAGTGACATTTTCCACCTTTTGGTGTTTCTTCTACAAGAATCAGCTAATATTTTCTGCCCACTGAACACCCACAGTCTCTCTGGCCAGTTTTATTTTTTATCCTTTCGGGCTATGTACAGTTCTCTACATTTCTATATACTTTCTCAGTTTGAACCAAGTACTATCAGGAAAATGAGGGATGTACATTTTTTGTATACCTTGTAGCATTAATATATTAATCACAAGTGAAAATGTATAAAAGTTCATATAACTATACTCATTTTCCAACTCTCATATTCGCAATCGGACGGAGTCAAAGACTGTCAACCAGAAGCCTGTGCTGCCTTCACGACCACTGAGTTCGGGTCTGGGTGGTGTTTCAGCCAATCCAAGCCCTCATCATCGGTATGATACCAGGTCTCGATCTTTTTTGAGGTGGGCGGTATCGAGGACGGGGTCTTCCAGGAAGCCTGGATCACATCCAGGAAGTATGGGAGGAACGGTAGCAGCGGAGCTGATGGGGCCCCTTTGACTGAACCCGTTTGAAGACCGGGTCGGTCACGGCTTTGGATGTCTGTTTGATCTCCAGGCCCAATGTGCCCACTATGTGAGCCATCAGGTCCGCAAACGCCCGCACGTTATCAGTCAGTGAAGGAGGGTCCGTCTTGTAGGCATTGTGGGTTGGTGACCTGTTGATGCTGAGGGACAGTACTGAACCCGAACGGATTGACTCTGGCACCTCACCATGCCGAGGTCGATGCTGAGGATGGGCCCGCCGAGGTCGACGTCAAGGTAGGTGCTGCCAACACCGATGTTGAAGGGGCCAAGGTTTGCTGATACAAGAGGTACCTCAGCCGATGAGCCCGGTTCTTACGGGATTGGGCTGTCAGCTCTTGGCAGTGGCGGGAAGAAGCCGCAATATGGGTCTCGCTGAGGCAGAGAATGCTTGTCAAAATTGGGAAGCTTTCGAGAACACTGCATACAGTGTTTAAATGGAGTTGCCGACATTGCGAGGAAGTTCCGATGCGAGCCTTGCGGTGGAGAAACAGGAACTGCAGAGCGTGCGCGCGGGGCACCTTTTATGCCCTGCCGGGGACTGGGTGGGGTTACCGCCAAAACTTGAAGTTTAAACTGGAGAAGTTTCCGTTGGTGCCTGCGCAGGCGCAGTCACTCCACGTGTGTGCAGTCACAGAGACCACAAAGAAAAAATGGCTTTATAGTGATTAATTACTGCAAATATCATTCACATTATTTCTCTTCTATCTTTAAAGATTCAACACTCACTCGAGGCATTATCATCATCATCCATATCATCATGGGCAGGTTGCTCAGGCATCATTACTCCCCCCTCCGAAATGGCTGGTGGATCATCAAATATGCCTCCTCCATCATTGTTACTGAGAAGTTTGTCATCTGAAATGGAAACTTAGGAAAGTTAGAATTGGAGAACGAATAACTTATCTTCAATACTGTAAAGACAAAGTTTCACTCAGAAAAAAATGAAAGATTTATTTCCTTAAGATTTTGATCTTATGGCTCTATGGAAACATGGAAAGTGCCACATACAAGATTGCACTGTGTATTTAATTAAGTATGGCCAATTTTGGTTTGCAGTTTTCAGGGTCTCAAACAAGCAACTACCCCATGAAATGCTACTAGATCTTAACTGGAAGCATCTTAAAACTGGAGATATGCAGCGTGTGCTGTGTAACATAACTTTTTGATGTGTGAGTTGCAATGACAGTCTGATCAGGTAGATCTGGTTTGATCAGGTTGCAAGCCATGCACGCCCCATGTCACTGAGCCCAGGTCCATGCCATGTTATTCCTCAAAAGCATTCAAGCTCGGGGAAAAAGTGATTTTCCTTCTATTCAATATTTATATTTGAAAAAAGGTAGCCACCCTGAATCTGGTATAGTATGGAAGCCAAACCACCAGGTCAGAACTAAGAAACATAATTCAAATCTTCTAGGTATATTCAACACTTTATCCTAACCTATCATGTAGAGTTTTTGTGATAAGACAGGAAACTTTCAAAGGAATATAATTCTGGTGCAAGTTGGTATCTATTTTCAATGTATCTTCTATGTATCTTCAAGAACTGAATATTGGAGATCCTAATCATCTGTGGGAATAGGTAGGTAAATTGTATTATTATAATTATATTATGAATTTGCTGGGATTTGGTGACAAAAAAGAAATAATCATGATAACTATGGATCATTGGAAAAAGTAGGTTTTCTAGAACTTGATTTTAAAAATGGAACAAGCCAATAGAGATGTTATGAGAGCAGAGAAAAAAGAGGTGAAACCAAACACTGAAATTTAGCATCCATGTGAAGCAGTTTTATCATCAGGATCTATACCAAGCTTAAGCAGAAGGCCATACTGTATATGGTTGTGTTGTGGGTGGGGAAGATGTTATTTTTATTTTCTCCCTAAAGTTGCAACTTTTGTACCTTGACATGAAAGGGTTAAAGAGCTTATTAGAGTGTAAAAATGTTAAAATGTTGAAATGCAAATCTAGAGAGGTGCCCCTCTTGGCTGAGGGACAGAAGATCTAAGGCCAAGGGGAGATTATATATCTTGAAGAAACAGGATGTTCCAATTGTCAAGTATGCCCAAGGCGGCCTGAAACCTAAATGCTTACCTATAACAATAACACGTATGTCTATCTATGCTTGCGAAGTATGTAGAGCTTATCCATTAAAGGCGCCGAAATGGCCAAAAAATGAGAAAAACATGTTTTTGAAAAGTTGATTTGATAATGTATATGCCCCATGACAGCAAAAAGAATGTATATAAGGGAACTGGAAAATTCTAACAGAATGGTCAGCCTTTCCTTGAAGACACACACTGGTCTTTGGCTGTCCCGTCCCTGCGTGGCCACGCTGAAATAAACGATTTTTACTTCACCTAAGGAGACTGCTTGCTTCTGTTGCCTGCCTCGGGGTGTCAAAATAAAGGGGTCCCCTTCAGACTAACTCAGCAATACAGTAAAACAATATACAACAGAACACAGCAAAAATATAAAAATAAAATAAAATACAATACAAAATCATTTTAAAAACACATCAACAATATAAAATCACAATATTTAAAACACAGAAATTAATCATATTGGGCGGGCCGATTTTAATGGATTAAAAATTTTAAAACACTGGGTGAGACAGCAGTGTAATGTATCTGGACAGGGGATCTGAAAAAATAGATTAGGGTCATAAACGGAAATGCGGTCACGCAGGTAGGTGGGTCCCAAACCGTTCAGGGCTTTGTAGGTAAGAACCTGCACCTTGAATTGGGACCGGAAAATGAGCAGTAGCCAGTGCAGCTCCTTGAACAGGGGAGTTGACCGCTCCCTGTAATTCCCTTCCATTAGTGGTCTGCCACATCCATGAAAGAATGGAAGCCTTATGCTAAGTGGAACCAAATAACAACTTACCTAGGATTCCCCCATCATTTCCTTCTCCAAAATTGTCATCCTTGTATTGATCATCATATTCCAAATGATTAGTTTTCTCAGTAAGATGACTGGTGCTCTGCTCAGGCTCCAGTAGAAGGTTGGAGGCACTGGTACTGTCCAGCATGTCATCTGGAAATGCACTGTCCTCTCGCATAATTTCACGGTCATCCATTCCAAAGTCACCTATTTTCAATTTAATTACAAATGAAAAAAAACCCTGAGATTGAATGATATCTTCCACTTAAAAATACTGTACCAAATGTTTCTAATGCTCCATTTCACAGTATTTGTTCTACCATTACATTATAACCAAAGTCCAAGAAGCAAGTCCCATGTAGAATAAATCGAATGGAACTTACAAATATATTGCTTTAATGAGTTTGCATTAATTCAAAGGGCCTACTGTAGATACAACAAAAGGTGAGTTAGGCCTACACCCGCATAGCTTAGTTTGAAAACATTTACTCACATATTAGTAAGAAATGCTATGAATCTTTACTAGCAAATTTAAACTAACAAACTGTAGCATAATCAGAATAAAACAATTTCTGAACTTAGGTACTGTTGGGAATCAGTCTGTGTTTGTGTTTCAGGATCCTGATGTGGGAAATGATGAGGGAAGTGATGAGGGAAATGATGGTGCCGAGGCTGAGGTACAAGATGGAGATGGCTTGGTCAATGATTTTCAGGTAGACAATGACAGAGAGGCCCCAGTGCAAAGGGCAGTTTCTCATGAGAATATTCCTGATGAGCCTAGCAATGATAGTTCACTCCCTCTCTCTGTGAGCTCTCAAGATTTGAGTTTAGAAAACAATCTGACACCTGGGAATTTTAATGGGCAGCAAGATAGGAGGCTGAAGAATAGGCTGCTGGAGATTAGCCAGGATCGATAGCAAACTCAGTGTTTACGTTGCTCTGAAAGGCTTCATCTGATAAGGGGGAAATATGGGGGGAAGCTAACCCAATTCCTAAGTTTTGGGAAGAGTTCGACCGGACCTAGAAAGGTGCGCTGGCTCAGTTACTGCTCACCCTTCAGAGCCACAAACTGGAATGTTGTTCCTGCTGTTAGTCACCCGGTGGTCTGTCAAAAAGGGTCCAGTGTTGGTTCATTCTATGGTGGATTCGGGTGCAACCAACAACTTCATTGATAGGGAGTATGCGGATTCTTTGGGTTTGGAGTACCAGGACTTAAAAGACTCGAGGGTGGTGCAGACCATCGATGGCTGGTCTTTGAAATCGGGGCTAGTGAGCCATTGGACGGTGCCTACAAAGATGTGGGTACATGAACATTTGGAGGACATTTCCTTTTTGGTGACCAAGGTTCCTCATTTTCCATCATGTTGGGGGTGGCGTGGCTCACGTTGCACGACACCCATATTTCATGGGGACGCCGAGAACTACAATTCACTTTGGAATATTGTCACCAAAATTGTTTGGTGGCTCAAGTCTGTCAAGCCCAGGAGGTAGACACTCTTGTTACTTTCCCTTAAAAAATACTCTGATTTTTGGGACATTTTCAGCAAAAAGGAGGCGGAAAAGCTGCCGCCCCATCGACGCTATGACTGAGTCATTGATTTCGTGCTAGGTGCTCCAATCCCTTGGGGACGCTTGTACTCCCTCTCGGAACCAGAGCTGGCTGCTCTCCGGAATTTTTTGGATACAAACTTGCGCAAGGATTTCATCCGGCCCTCGCAGTCGCCAGCAGGCACTCCAGTTCTGTTTGTGAAGAAGTTGGTGAGTTGCAGATGTGTAATGACTATAGAACTCTGAACAACATCACGATCCGGAACTGCTAGACGATACTTAAGATGTGATTACATGACTTCATTTGCAAAACAAGAGTCAGGTGTCCTTCAAGATATTCCACAATTTTCAGAGACCAAGACAATTTTAAGAAATGATGACCTTTGTGTCTTACCGTTTGTAGAAATATGTGAGAGTGTATCACAAATCATACAGGCATGTGAGCTGCTTCCATAACAACATTAATAGCAGTAGCAGAATAAATACAAATGCATTTATTTGATACAAAATTATCAAATAATTATACTTTACCAAAATCATTGTCCTGAAGGATACTGATGTTGCCTACTTCTTCTCGCATTGTAATTTCTTCCACTCTACTTTGATTTAAACTGAACTGCTGAGCTACATCAATATCACTTTGGGGGGAAAAGAAGAATGGTTTTAAAAGAATCCATCATCTGACGCCATACAGAAACAGAGCTACTGATATCAGTCCATGATTACAAAATAAATAAATAAATAAATAAATAAATAAATAAATTAAAAACCCTACGGAATATTAGAAAGTTTCAATTCATTGGATCAACAAATATCTGCAAAGATGCTATTTTCAGATGTAACCATTAAAATACTCCAAACTGCTTAAAAAGCGTATTTTAATTATGAAGTACTACAAAGCAGAGGATTTTATGCATTTGACAACTCATATCATGATAGACTGTTATAGAAAAAGGGTCGCTACATTTCAAAGACAACTGAAATAAATGGGCTATCGTTCACAACATTTAAAGGTGACAATTATGATTCACTGCTACCAAAATTATGTAATAGTAGTGTGAGGGATTCGGTATTCAAGACTTCATTTCTAATCAGATTATGGAAAGAACATTCAATCACTGGATTGTTTTGCACTTCCTAAACTCCACAAAATCAACGAGTGAATATCTAATATACCAATATTAATTCTCTCAGATAATAATATTATAGTAAGTAAGTTGCTTACTCTAGATCTGGCAAGGGCTGGTCAAAATCATGAAATTCTTCTGGTAAAGTGATAGCATTATATGCAGCTTCTCTATTTTCCTCAGGCAAATCAACCACACCTTTTAAAAAATGTTATTATGTAAGTATCTTCTAGAGAAAAAGCAACAATTTCAGCATTTCCATTATCATTGCATATAAATACATAGCCAATAAAATACTTTATCAGACTGGGGAAAAAAATTGTTTAAAACATCTACAACAAAACTTTATTTATATACCGCTCTATCTCCCCGAGGGGACTCAGAGCAGTTTCCAAATAAAATAATCAATACATACAAAGAAGGCAGAAAAAAACCCATAAAATTAACAAGACAATATAAGCATTAAAAACCACAATAGCACATATATATTTAAAATAATCCTGCCAGTTCAAGGCAATTTAAAAGACCAGGCTGAGGAGAGTACAATTTTAGAGGGCCTGGAAAATTAGGTAGAGTCTATGGCTGTTCATTTCCAGGGCCTAATAGAAGAAAGTAACCTGGGTAACTGGCAGAAAAAGATATGGCCAATTTCAACAGTATCTGGGGCAGAGCTAGAACTAGTCGTTCTAAAGGTTTGTTCAAACCACCAAGTCTTCAGGCTCTTATGAAAGGAGGGGAAGGATGGCGCCTATCTTATTTCTCTAGGAAGGGAGTTCCAGAGGCACGGGACCACCACCAAGAAGGCCCTCTCTCTCGTCCCCACCAGCCGTGCTTGTGACGGTGGTGGGAGCGAAAGGAGAGCCTCCCCAGAAGATCTTAAAGTCCATGAGTTCAGAAGGAGATGCGATCACGAAGATAGGCGGGGCCTGAAATTATGCTACGAAATTACAATTAAGTCCCACTGTACATAACAGACCTTGACATGAATGAAGAATGTTTTATGTCAAATATTTGTTCTGTGTATTTTAATATGTATTTTGTAGAAATATGTTTTAACATGTGTATTTTACAGAATGTTTTTAGATTACTGTGTTTTTTAGAAATGTTGTAACCCACCTCAAGAAGAAAAAAAATAATTACTATATTGTTCAAAAATACAGCAGTAAGTTTATGCAGCAACAACTGCAGATTCCAAGGCAATTGCTATATATGCAGTAGCATTAAGTTTGCAAAAAGTAAGTACACAACCTGGACGGAAAGCCATCTTGATCTTAATGAATGCTTCATTACAATCCGCAAGGAGGTATTTAGCTTTCCTGTGGTAGATTCTAACAACTCCCAATAAAAGATGTCCTGAAGTACGAAGAGCCATCTTCACCTGCAAAGTGCATTACCATTAGTACTTAGCAATCATATACATCCAAGAAATGGTTATTTGGAATACAAGTCACTCTTGAATTCACAAATAACAATGTTTTGACAGTCATATTTAATTTGTCAGTATTTTGAAAAATCTTTATATATCTTTAACATCATGGTGGTGGTTTGTAAATTTCTTTAGTAATACTTAATATTCGTTTCTAAATACAAACAGACATTCTCCTGTGGTGGCCAACAGCAATTTTAAAGCTAATGAGTGGAAAGCGTTTACAGATTTCACAGACTCGTAATCATAATCATCTTCTTCTTCTTTATTTATATACTGCTTTATCTCCCCTAGGGGACTCAGGGCGGTTTCCACACATACAATGACACAGTAGAAATATACAAAGTATTCAAAACAAAAGACTACATTTTCAGCACCGATTAATGGACTATGAGAGGGACGGGGCAGAACAAATACTCCGAGAATGACATGGAGTCGGAGGGAGAATGAGAGATCTCTTGGTACATTCACGTACTTCAGCCATCACACAGTTTGGAAAGCTCTAGTTTAAGGAAATGTCTTTGACTCAATCCTCCCACTTACCATAGGACACATGAATAAAAATGAAATTGGAAAAAAAACGTATTTAGAAAACAATCAAAATCCAATTAGGCTAAATCCAATTGTTATTCCAAACCAGACCAACTCCAATATGGAAACATTTATTTATTTATGATATTTTTATCCCAGCTTTCTCAAGCCCGAAGGTGACACAAGGCAGCTTAATTGGCAGCAATTTGATGCTATAATAGTCCACAATATACAATTAAAACATTTAAAACAACATTATAAAAACAATATAAAAACCTTTTGTATAAATCTCAATTTAATGGGACTTCTCTAAATAAAAACTAAAAACTGAATTTAGTCCATTATTTTTATATCTGGAGTAATTCTGCAGGGAATACCTTTGGTGAGATGATGCTCTCCACACTGCTTTCCAAGTTGCATTCGAAGACATGGGCTTTGGTTAGTTTTTTATCCCAGTGGGCCGCCAGCCAAATTTTGGCAAGCGGCCCACGCTTACTCAGGACAAAGTGAGCGTAGAACATTGTGCTTGCTCTCTATGAAACAATCTGAAAAAAGGAAGAAAAATAATGTAACAAAAATCATTTTTACAACAACTCATATTTATCATGTTTATTAAGGATTACTTATATAAAGGCCAGTTTACATAGTTAAAGTGTTTCAAACAAAATACCTATTAGCAAGTGGCAAGAATGATGTTTGATTTGCTCTTAGGAAATACTAGGCCCTACAAGTAGAAACTGAGTGCCGATGTGTGCAAAAACAACAGGTTATAGACTGCATTATGCAGCTATCCCTACATCTTTTTCACTCACATGATTATTATGTATAACTTCCAGTTTTAAGATACCAAATGAAAACTATGATTTATATCCAAACTTAAGTAAATTATGGGAGGACCAGTAGAATAATGAGATCCAACTGTCTTTATCTCAAGCCTGAAAAGGAACGCATGTTTTGTCAAACTGAGCAACTTAGCAGATCAAGAACCCATCTGCAGTTCCACACTACACATGGAATTGCTTCCACAAAGAATCCAATTTCCCCTTCCATTGAACATATAGTAGGACTAGTTGGTTTTCAGTCCTTTCGTTTTTAAAAAAAGAATATAACAAAATGGATGCAACTGGAGTGTCACTTCCTTTAAAATAGTTAGTTAGCGGTCCACATTTACTGGGGCTGGGACACAAGAACCGCATAAAAGTAGAAAAACGTTTAATAAAAAACATGATTTTTTAAAAGCATGAAAGAACCTCTTCTCTAGAAATCTTTGTATTTATAGATAGAGTCCCATTCTACAGTCAAATTTTATAAGAAGTTGACCAAAGAATCACCCTGGTGGGCCTACAAATACCTAGAGCAGGCATATGAAAATCCACCCTCCAGGTGTTTTGGACTTCAACTCTCACAATTCCTAACAACCAGTAAACTGCCTGAGATTTCTGGGAGTCGAAGTCCAAAACACCTGGAGGTCCAGTTTCCCCATGCCTGACCTAGAGAATATCTCTTCAGTCACATGCAGAGCAGCGATGGAGGTTCTAACTAATACAACAATCTGCTAATAATCAAGTCTGTGAATGCTTAACCCACAAATGTGGAGGGATATCTATGTTATGAGCCATCTTCAGTCCCATGTGGGATGTAAAGCAGGATACAAAATTTGTGTAAAAGGGCCCTTCCAGTGAGGCCCTACATCCTACAAATTTGATCCCAGGTTTTCTGCTTTAACTTGGATTATACGAGTCCCCACTGCCAGATAATCTGGGATAAACAGAAAACTTGGGATCACATCCTGGTATAAAGGGCCAGTCTGGAAGGGCCCTAAATGCCCTGAATAAAACCAAAAAAATTTATGGCCAGCACCTTATATAACCCACTATACAACATAACATTATGCATATTGAACCTTTTACTAATTGTGAAGATGTGTAAAAGCACGCTGGTAAGAACACAGAATGTACATCAAAACCCCTTTACCCATATTCCATCATGCTTTAGGGTGCTGAATGTTGTCCATTGATTCCCCTACAAAAATATGTAACACTGGATCCAGCCATTATGGAACTATCAAATTTTAATTCCCATATATATAAGTCCACTTAGAGAGATGTAACTTCCATACAGTACTTGCTGTTTTCTGTAATTGCTATTATGATAGCTGTCTGATTTTAATTGATTTGTCATTCAATTCTACCTCAGAGATCTCCATTCAAATCAGGATCCAACCATGAAGGCTTGAATGCCTACTGAGTGTTCTGGGCAACATTTTTTATTTAATTTGATTTCTGAGAAGATTGTCTGATGTGATGGGAAGGGGGGATAAACAGAAGAAAAACCTGACCAATAGACATGAATAATGTGGCATTATATTTATTTCATGTCAAAAGCATTGCATAAATCAGAGGTCCTAAAACTTTTTAAACAAGAGGGCCAGGTCACACTCCCTCAAACTGTTGGAGGGCCAGATTATAATTTGAAAAAAGGATGAATGAATTCCTGTGCACATTGCACATATCTTATTTATAGTGCAAAAACACTTTAAACAACGCAATAATTAAAATGAAGAACAATTTAAACAAATATAAACTTATTAGTATTTCAGTGAGAGTGTGGGCCTGCTTTTGGCTGATGAGATAGGATTGTTGTGTGCTTTCAAGTCATTTCAGACTTAGGTTGACCCTGAGCGAGGACTGGGTAAATGACCTTGGAGGGCCGTATCCACCTGCCTCCCGCCTTAGTTTGAGGACCCCTGGCATAAATAAACAAGTATAAAACTGATAAAACAGAGTGAACGCAAGCAGCTAAATAATTTTATACCAAAAATGAGCAACAGCGACCACATTGTCTATAGCTTTCAACGGTTCTTCCTCTGTGCATGAGGAAGAACGGTGGGCAAGCAGACAGCTGCACAGAGGAAGAACTGTTGAAAGCTATAGACAATGTGGTCGCTGTTACTCATTTTTGGAAGGCCGAAGTTTGCCCATGCCTGACCTAGAAGAATCCTCCACATTGTGCAACTGTGGGGCAGAACAAACAGGTATTGGACTTCAACATCTATAATTCCAATAGGTTGTTAGGAATTGTGGGAGTTGAAGTCCAAAGCACCTGGAGAGCTGAAGTTTGTCCATGCCTGACCTAGATAGTGTCATTTTGCCAGGTTGTCTTTTGATCTGCTAACTCCACTTCTGTTCAGCGACTTCCACATTGCCCATTCTTGGTTTGCCCCTGGAGGCAGACCTTCATGGGGGACCATCCATTTTGGATTTCCTGGTTTAGCTGTTCAGAGAGCTACTCTTGCTGTTACTGGGAGAGCATTAAGAGAAGTGGTGGCTCTCATAAAACTTTCCCTTGATTTGAGTCTACCGGGAGGAGGCTGATAGCTATGCAGTGGATGGCTTTCATAGTATTCAACCTTATTTCTCTCACAGTTGACAGCAGCTTCCTGTCACAAATGGGGGGATGCCAGCTAAAATGCATTGCTTTACAGAATAATAATAATAATAATAATAATAATAATAATAATAATTTATATCCTACCCCCTCTTTCCAAAGGGACTCAGGGTGGCTTACTGCAAAAAATATAGTATATATAATAATTGACCAACCAAGACAACAAAATTTATCAACCAACAAATCAGCAAATCATGATATAAACCAAACTAAAATGGTATATAAGTAAGGTAAATAAATAAATAAATAAAATGGTAATAGACATTGTAGTAGACATATAACATATTAAAAATTATATATAATTGAAAAATGAGTTCTAATTGGTAGCACATTGTTGGCTAGGAGTAGAACTTGAGGTACAGGTCAGAACTATCACAATGTATCAAATCACTTTGGCATTTTATAGCCAAATGCATATCCTCATCACATTTCCCCCCTGATTCATGTCAAATTTGTTCAGATAAATTTGATACTTTTTCAAGCAAATTTCACATATAACTATACAGAAATACAGTATGAGTTTGTTAATGTTTCCTGCGTATGGAGACTTTTGGGACACCCTGTATAGATTGTTCATCAATCTAGGGAACAGAAGAAATCAAATTAAATTAAAATAATGCCTAGAACACTCAGTAGGCATGCCAGCCTTCATGGTTGGATACTGATTTGAATAGAGATCTCTACAGTAGAATTAAATGACAAATCAATTAAAATCCGTATTATGCAAAGGGTTGCCTTCTCAGCTCTCCTTCCCCCCTCCCCACTTTTTGTAAAGAGGACCTCGAAATCACTAAATCTCGCTTTTTGCAATCATAAAGTTCCCTTGCTCTCATTTAGGCAATTTACCCCCAGTACAGGCAGTCCCCAAGTTACGAACAAGATAGGTTCTGTGGGTCTGTTCTTAAGTCGAATTTATATGCAAGTCAAAACAGATACTTTTCAAAGTTTAACACCAGTTTCTCTCTCTCATATACACACACACACACAAGGCGTCCCCTGCCTTGCGTTGCTGTGGCCCACTCTGGTGGTCATGGGGGTTCTATGTGGGAGGTTTGGCCCAATTCTATCGTTGGTGGGGTTCAGAATGCTTTGTGATTTTAGGTGAACTATAAATCCCAGCAAGTATTTGTGTAGAGTTTGGTCCAGATCCATCATTGTTTGAGTCCACAGTGATCTCTGGATGTAGGTGAACTACAACTCCAAAACCAAAGGACACTGCCAACCAAACCCTTCCAGTATTTTCTGTTGGTCATGGGAGAACTGTGCGCCAAGTTTGGTTCAATTCCATCGTTGGTGGGGTTCAGTATGCTCTTTGATTGTAGGTGAACTATAAATCCCAGCAACTACAACCCCCAAATGACAAAATCAATTCAGATACAGCGGCTAAAACCTCATTTTTGTTGGCTGGTTTTAACCCCATTCTGACGACACAAGTTGCCCTTTATTTGTTTAAAGCTGCTAAAAGGATATCCGAGTACATAGATCAGATAGGGGTGCAGTGTAGGGGAGACGAGGATAGTTGATGCATATATCAATGGCTAAGCTACATTGGTTTTAAGTTGATAAATTCCTATATATTTGTATTCTATTTTAATAGGACCAGATGTATGTTGTATGTTGTGTATCCACTGTCTGTTTTTGATAAGGCCAACTGGCTAATCAATAAAAATTGTTGTTGTTGTTGACAAAATCAATTTTTTTGAGTGGAGGACATACATTGGGTTGTTAGGTGTCTTGTGTCCAAATTTGGCGTCAATTCATCCAGTGGTTTTTGACTTCTGTTAATCCTACAAACGAACATTACAAATATACATACATACATACATACATACATATATATGCATGCATGCATGCATGTCTGTAATGTTCGTTTGTGGGATTAACAGAACTCAAAAACCACTGGATGAATTGACGTTAAATTTGGAATATATATATATGGAATTCCAGGCAAGAATCATTCAGGGCCATCTAACACCGCTCAACAAAGCATTCACCCCAGGCAGCAACCACCTAGGCCAGGGGTCCTCAAACTTTTTAAACAGAGGGCCAGGTCACAGTCCCTCAAACTGTTGGAGGGTCGGATTATAATTTGAAAAAAAAAAATGAATTAATTCCTATGCACACTGCACATATCTGTAGTGTAAAAAACACTTTAAAACAATACAATAATTAAAATGAAGAACAATTTGAACAAATATAAACTTATTAGTATTTCAATGGAAAGTGTGGGTCTGCTTTTGCCTGATGAGATAGGATTGTTGTTTGCTTTCAAGTTGTTTCAGAGTTAGGTTGACCCTGAGTGAGGGCCAGATAAATGACCTTGGAGGGCTGTATCCGGCCCTCGGGCCTTAGTTTGAGGACCCCTGGCCTAGGCCTTGAAACTGCAAGGCCATTCAATGCTAATCAAGGTGGCCAATTGCAACATTTCCCCGTACCTCAAGCAGACAAGTTTGTTATCCCTCCTTGGACATTCCACAGATATTTAAACCGCATTTGTCTAGTTTCCAACAGACCTCACAACCTCTGAGGATGCCTGGGTGAAATGTCAGGAGAGAATGCTTCTGGAACATGGCCATACAACCTGGAAAACTCATATTAACCCAGTGATTCCGGCTATGAAAGCCTTCAACAACACCGGCCCTAGTTTTATTGTGTTATGATGTATTGTTTTTGTTTACTGTTTTGCTTAATTTTTTGATTTGCTTTATAATGTTATGTGTATTATTATGTTGTTTTTATTGAGGCCTTGGCCTTTATTATTATTATTATTAACTTTATTTGTACCCCGCTAGCATCTCCCGAAGGACTCGATGCGGCTTACAAAGGCCAAGGCCTCAAAACACAACATAACAATACAACACCTAAAGCAAATTAAAAAAACAATTAAAGCAATATTAAACAACAAGCAATAAACAATACACCAAGACACAATAAAACTGGGCCGGTCCAGAGTAAAAGGTACAGGATTAAAAGTGCTGATGTGACAGGTGATATGTAAGGATTATAGGGTAAGTGCAGCAATCTGAGTTCTAATAAAGTACTTCTGGGACTATTCTGGAAAGGCACATCGGAACAGCCAGGTCTTTGATGTGCTTTATAATGTTATGTGTATTATTATGTTGTTTTTATTGAGGCCTTGGCCATTATTATTATTATTATTATTATTATTATTAAACTTTATTTGTACCCCGCTAGCATCTCCTGAAGGACTCGATGCGGCTTATAAAGGCCAAGGCCTCAAAACACAACATAACAATACAACACCTAAAGCAAATTAAAACAGTTAAAGCAATATTAAACAACAAGCAATAAACAATACATCAAGACACTATAAAACTGGGCCGGGCCAGAGTAATGGGTACAGGATTAAAAGTGCTGATGTGACAGGTGATATATAAGGATTATACTAGTAGTGGTTCTCAACCTGTGGGTCCCCAGGTGTTTACCAGCTGTTAGGATTTCTGGGAGTTGAAGGCCAAAAACATTTGGGGACCCCAGGTTGAGAACCACTGGATTATAGGGTAAGTGCAGCAATCTTAGTTCTAATAAAGTGCTTCTGGGACTTGGTATTGGAGATTCCTATTCTGGAAAGCCACATCGGAACAGCCAGGTCTTCAAGTTCTTTCTAAAAACTGCCAATGTAGGGGCCTGTCTAAGATCTTTAGGGAGGGTGTTCCAGAGTCGGAGGGGGGGGGGGCACCACGGAAAAGGCCCTGTCTCGCGTCCCCACCAAACTTTGTAAAATGCATCGAGTCCTTCGGGGTTCAAATAAAGATGATGATGATAATAATAATAATAATAATAATAATAATAATATATTTTAGCTTTGGACACCATAGGGAAGGGTTCACACCGGGTTGGTGTTTGTTTTGCTGTCTGTACCCCTGTTCAGAAGATTTCTCATCACTTTCTGTCCCTGTGAGAACTGGATTTTGGAAAACGTGGCTTGTTGTGAAGACAAGGATTGGTGGGAAAGCTTCAGTGGAGTCCTCTTTCCCCCATGATCACTCTTTTAAGAGACAGTTTCCCTTCCGAGGGGTGGATTTTCCTCGATTCGAACAAATACAAATATAATCGTGAAAGCACGGCTTCCACCAACTAACTGCCACGCTCGAGGCCGAACTGGGAAGAAAAACGGGTTGAAATCGGATCAGTAAAAGCCCCCAAAGCCTCGAGGGGCGAAACGGGAAAGGCTCCCCGGGAGAGGCCGCTCAAGCCCGGCCCTCCTCTCCACGCAAAGCCCCTTCCCCGCAGGCGCCGCGGCCTAGGTCTCTCCAGCCTCTCTCTCCGCGCCTCCCTTCTCCCCGCCTCGGCCTCTCACCTCAGCTTCGCCGCGGCCTCCGAGGGCTTCGGGCGGTGGGAAGCCTTCCGGGCCGCCGCCGCCGCCGCTCCCTTCTCTTTCCCCCTCCTCCTCCTCCTCCTGCCGAGGCGACTCAAACAAACAAGATGGCCGCCCTCCCTCCCTTCCTTCCTTCCTGCCGCCCAAACCAGCCGTTCAAAAATCGGCAGGATGTTTACCGTTAAAAGAAGGGAGGGGGGCGAGAAAGGAGAGACACAGGGAAGTCCCTACTGCGCCTGCGCGGTGGAGCACGTTTCCTTGTACTACTGTACAGAGCGGAAGGCGGATTTTGAGAGTCAGGGAGGCCCTCGCGGCGCCTAATGCGCATGCGCGGACGAGCACCCTCTCCCTCTCTCATAGTACAGGATTGACGTCGGCCAATAGAATCGCGCGCAAAAGAGGCTTTCGAAGGCTATTGGCTGAAGAAGGAAGGCCGTGAAATGCAATAATAGGATTGAGCGCAGCATGTAGTGTTCGGCGCATGCGCAGTTTTGCACCTAGAATCATAGAATCAAAGAGTTGGAAGAGACCTTATGGGCCATCCAGTCCAACCCCATTCAGCCAAGAAGCAGGAATATTGCATTCAAACCACCCCTGACAGATGGCCATCCAGTCCAACCCCCTGCCAAGAAGCAGGAATATTGCATTTATAGAATCATAGAATCAAAGAGTTGGAAGAGACCTCATGGACCATCCAGTCCAACCCCATTCTGCCAAGAAGCAGGAATACTGCATTCAAATCACCCCTGACAGATGGCCATCCAGTCCAACCCCCTGCCAAGAAGCAGGAATATTGCATTCAAATCACCCCTGACAGATGGCCATCCAGCCTCTGTTTAAAAGCTTCCAAAGAAGGAGCCTCCACCACACTCCGGGGCAGAGAGTTCCACTGCTGAACGGCTCTCACAGACAGGAAGTTCTTCCTCATGTTCAGATGGAATTTCCTCTCTTGTAGTTTGAAGCCATTGTTTGCATCCTAGTCTCCAGGGAAGCAGAAAACAAGCTTGCTCCCTCCTCCCTGTGGCTTCCTCTCACATATTTATACATGGCTATCATATCCCTAGCTTCTGCCAACCTAGCAGTTCGAAAACATGCAAATGTGAGTAGATCAATAGGTACCGCTCCGGCGGGAAGGTAACGGTGCTCCATGCAGTCATGCCGGCCGCATGACCTTGGAGGTGTCTATGGACAACGCTGGTTCTTCGGCTTAGAAATGGAGATGAGCACCACACCCCAGAGTCTTTGTATCTTTGCATTCGTTTTTCCTGCCAAAGTGGAGTATCTTGCATTTGTCACTGTTGAACTTCATTTTGTTAGTTTTGGCCCATCTCTCTAATCTCGTTTGGTTTCAACTGGGTTATCTGGAGGCTTTTCCCACACAGCCCTATTATATCCCAGAATATCAAGGCAGAAAAATCCCACATTATTTATTTATTTATTTATTTACTAGCCGTCCCCTGCCACGCGTTGCTGTGTCCCAGTCTGATGATCTGGAAAATAAAGTAATGGTTTCTAATATATGTCATATCTTTCTGCTTGTGGGTAAACAGTATGTCTTGTTGTTTCTTTGTCGGTGTTGATGTGGAGAGTGTCTGGTTTGCCTACTCTGGAATATGCAACATATCATTGTCCTTCTTTAGGGGTCCCTTTCCAATCTATGATATGATATCTCTCTCTGTGTGAATCATATATATTTATGGCTGGATGGCTCTTTGACAGGAGGGCTTTGATTAGATTTTCTTGCCCTGGTGAAAAGAGTTGGACTGGATGGCCTTAAGTATTTTCTTGGTCATGGGGGTTCTGTGTGGGAAATTTGCCCCAATTCTGTCGTTTGTGGGATTCAGAATGCTCTTTGATTGTAGGTGAACTATAAATCCCAGTAACTACAACTCCCAAATGTCAAGGTCTATTTCCCCCAAACTCCATCTGTGTTCATATTTGGGCATATGGAATATTTGTGCCAAGTTTGGTCCAGATCCATCATTGTTTGAGTCCACAGTGGTCTCTGCATGTAGGTGAACTACAACTCCCAAACTCAAAGTTAATGCCCACCAAACCCTTCTAGTCTTTTCTGATGGTCATGGGAGTCCTGTGTGTCACCTTTGGTTCAATTCCATCATTGGTGGAGTTCACAATGCTCTTTGATTGTAGGTGAACTATAAATCCCAAGAACTACAACTCCCAAATAACAAAATCAAAAATTTTGTCAAATGAAGGACATACATTGGGTTGTTAGGTGTATGCTGTCCAAATTTGGTACCAATTCGACCACTGTTTTTTTGAGTTCTGTTAATCCCACAAATGAACATTACATCTTTATTTATATAGATTTCATATACTTGTGGGGGAACTCAGGGCGGCCTCACAGCAAACACCATTCGGTACCAATAATGATAAGAACAATCAACAAATTCATTAAACAAAACATTAAATAAACAGTTGTTAAAACACGTCAATTAAAATCCATGTCTGGGTCAATTCATTGTCACTTCGAAATTGCTTATGTCTTCTTCATACAAGCCACTGTTCAATGGTCAAATGCAAGGTCCCACAGCCAAGTCTTGAGTTTCCTTCTAAAGGACAGGAGGGAGGTGGCCAATCTGATATCTTTGGGGAGGGAATTCCACAGGTGAGGAACCACTGTTGAGAAGGCCCTGTCTATCATCTCCACCAATGTCATTTGCAACAGCGGTGGGATCGAGAGCAGGGCCTCTCCAGATGACCTTAAATTTCTTGATGATTCGTAGTAGCAGATACGTTCGGACATGTAATCTGGGCCAGAACCGTTTAAGAGCAGGGGTCCTCAAACTAAGGCCCGGGGGCCGAATACGACCCTCCAAGGTCATTTTCTCAGCCCTTACTCCGTCAACCTAAGTCTGAAACGACTTGAAAGCCCACAACAACAACAACAATCCTATCTCGTCAGCCAAAAGCATGCCCACACTTCCCACTGAAATACTAATAAGTTTATATTTGTTTAAATTGTTCTTCATTTTCATTATTGTGTTGTTTTTAAGTGTTTTTTTGCACTACGTATAAGAAATATACAGTGTGCATAGGAATTCATTCATGTTTTTTTCAAATTATAATCCAGCCCTCCAACAGTTTGAGGGACTATGACCTGGCCCTCCATTCAAAAAGTTTGAGGACCCTTGGTTTAGAGCTTTAAAGGTTAAAACCAGCACTGTGAATTGTGCTCGGAAGCAGATCGGCAACCAGTGGAGCTGGCGTAACAGAGGAGTTGTATGCTCCCTGTACGACGCTCCGGTGAGCAACCTGGCTGCTGACCTTTGGACTAATTGAAGCTTCCGGGCAGTCTTCAAAGGCAGCCCCACATAGAGCGCATTGCAGTAGTCTAATCGGGATGTAACAAGAGCGTTGACCACTGTGGCCAAGTCAGACTTCTCAAGGTATGGGCGTAGCTGGCACACAAGTTTTAATTGTGCAAAAGCTCTCCCGGCCATCGTTGAGACCTGGGGTTCCAGGCTCAGCGATGAATCTAGGATCACACCCAAGCTGCAAATCTGCATCTTCAGGGGGAGTGTTACCCCTTCAAGTACAGGCTGTAACCCTATGCCCTGTTTGGCCTTTCGACTCACCAGGAGGACCTCTGTCTTGTCTGGATTCAGTTTCAATTTGTTCGCCCTCATCCAGACCGACACAGCAGCCAAGCTGTTCAGGACTTGCACAGGCTCCTTAGCATCAGGTGGAAAGGAGTGATAGAGCTGAATTTTAATAATGATGTGCAGGAAAGGTGGCTTTGTTAGTCCACTCTTCGAGGTTTGTGCTTCAGCAATCAATAGAAGCCAATCCAGTGACTTAATCAATTAGTTGTTGCTCTATAAATTGTGGGTTATGTTTTGATTTAAACCTATCGATTGTTTGTTTACTTCCACCTCAGGTTCAATTAGAGGTTGCAAATATTTGTGTTTTCCCAGACTCTTGATGGACTTGGATTGTTCCCGTCTACCACTTCAAACAGTATTTATTGATCTTTTTTTATGGTCTGCTGAGCACAACATAGCAGAACAGCATAATATATAAATAAGAACTGATGGTATGTGCGTGCTTCCATAAAACAAATAAAATCCTAAGGTCCAAACTTTGGTATGATCCCAGTTTTCAAGTATCTAGGTTTCATGCTCTTGGAACTAAGTGAAGACAGGCAAAATGCAGACCTTCATTCCTTTAAATAAATGCTTATGACCCTCTCTGGACTTCCCTATTCAAACAGCTTATCATTTATTATCAACATTTAATATTTACCTTGAGATGAAGGCTGCATCAGCCAAGACGAACTATTTGCTGAAATGGGATAATACTAAGTTCCTATTGAGGAAATTATTCAGAGTTTTGAGAAACTAGTCCCCCACCCTTTTGGAGTTTTGTTTGAGTATTAGGATCTGGTGGCCAAGATATGATGTCAATACACAGAAGTACTAGTAGCAGTGGTGTTGTCATATTCTCAACATTTCTGACATGTCGGGAAAATTTGTTCCTTGTGTCTAGAAAGGCATTCAAAACAGTTGTTTTTTCTAGGTTTGGGAAAGCAGTGTATCAAAGCTTTCTTCAGCTCCCAATGGTAATACTGTAATCCCCACCCCTACCCCGCTGTGTGAGTGGGAATATTTTTCTATCGCATTTAGGTATTGGGGTTGCTGGATCATAAATTATTTGCCATGAATGAAAAAAAAATAGTTCTGAAACTCCAAAACGCCCATAAAGTTGTTAATGAAGAAACTTTTTTACTGAAATTAATTGGGAGATGTTAATGGAAAAAAATAAAAATGCAAAACCCAATGTTTTATTTCATGCAGCAAAGCAGTATCAAGAGTGTTATAAAATGCACATATTTCCATCTAATTAGACAAGCAAAAACCATAAAAAGCAGAGAAGGTGGGTTTGCAGTGTTAAATAATGCACATTATAGTGAAGGAAATTATTCTTAGTTCTCTATAGCTTCCCTTTGATTGTAGAGTGACATTGTAAAGTGACTTTTATAGCAGTAGAATGTGACTTATGAGTTATTTCGCTATAAATCTTTCCATCTTCGCTTTTCTTAGGTTCCAAAAATGTAAGCTATGTTAGCTATCTATCTACCAGTGCTCCTTTTTATATATATTTTTCCACAAATGCTATTTTGATGG